CCTACTGCAAACCAAAGTGACTGAGAAAAGGATCACCATCTTTACTGACAGTCAGGCAGCAATAGGTGCTCTTGACAATTATTATGCTTATTCAAAGGTCGTTAAGGAATGCAATAGAGCACTTAACGAGCTAACTGAGCACAACAGAGTTGCAGTGGAGTGGGTGCCAGGCCATTCTGGCATACCGGGCAACGAGATGGCTGATGAGCAAGCCAGGTTGGGCTCAGATACTATTCTTATAACTCCCGAGCCTGTCTGTGGAATCAGCCTTAGTACTGCCAAGGGCAGGATCAGGGAGATCTATGGAAACAAATTTAGGAATTACTGGACCGACAAGAAACAGAGACACTCGAAGCTGTTCCTTAAAGGCCCATGTAAAAAAAGAAGTGAACAGCTACTGAACATGGACAGAGCAGCTCTTAAAAAACTCACAGCGATCTACACAGGTCACTGTAAGTTAAATAATCATATGTTCAATCTCCGAGTAATGACGAATCCGATATGCAGATTCTGTCAGGAGGAGAATGAAACAGCTTTTCACATCATTTGCAGATGTGACAAGTTTATAAGGCTGAGACTGGCGTTATTTGGGGAGGAACAGATGGATCTCCCCAGTAGATTTGAGTTGGTTAACCCAACCAGCCTACTGAGATACGCGGAAGCGACAGGACTAACGTTTTGAATAAGACGACCTAGCGAATATTGGCGCACAATGGACCCAAAGGGGTCGACGTGCTTAAAGCCAAAAAAAAAAAAAAAAAAAAACCTATAGTGGGGGCCATTTGTGTGACCACTCACAACAATCCAAGCAAACTGTCGCTCTGTGTTCATTGCAGATAGGTTGCTTATATTGCTGAAAAAAATTGTTTGTCTTTCTATCTTTCCATCTCATGCAAAACGAATACTTGGTCGTTTTTCCAACAGTAGTCGTAAATTTTTTAATTCCCAAAATTTCTTTTATGTTGTAACACACCGTTTGTTTGAGTGTTTCCACTTGCAGTCTTCTTTTCAAACAGGGCTCAAATAACAAATAGCCTAATCAAAATAAATAATTTCATCTTCTTTACCCAGTTAACTATACTGAACAATACCATGCTCTTTATACCAGCATGGTTCAACATTCCAAAGCAAAATCGGGGAGACAGCCTCCTTTTTTTTCTTGCTGTTAACACACATGACACATTTGATCAAAAGTTACTGTACCATCTTTATTTAATATGCTCCAGGCATCTTTTCTTCATCTTCTAACTCCTATAACAGTTAACGTCATTCTTCAGGGGAAGAATACAGTTTTTTGATAGTTGCCATACTAAGAAAATAGTTTCTGTACACTACCGCCTGAATTGAAAATACCATTAATTAACAAACATAGCATTAGAAATCCACACCTGAATTATTCGAAGTTTCAAAATAACAAAGAAAACACTGGGATACGAAATCCACAGAACAGTTGCATAGACAGCACACTGGAGTGTGGGATGGCCCATAATGACTTTCGATAACTCTCAATAATGATATAAGCCCAACAATGCAGTGCTAATTACTGTAATGAGACGGGCTATGTATGATGTTTATTTACATGAAAAAACTTGGCCAAAGAGCTACTTACATAAAAGTAAATTAATATTGAAAATGTTGTCATACCCCAGTGTGTCGTTCTGTGGTTAAACACACTTTATTTAATAACAGGCTAGTATTTTTTGCTCTAATTGTTTCAAAACACCCACAGGATTTCATCAAATAATTTGAGCCATCAATACTTAAAAAAAGATCCAGCTGTTCGCTCAAAAAAGTTTTACATAGCTTTTAGCAGACGATCCAAACACATTATCCTCGTTTCGCTTTGTTTAGTAGAGTGAAAGTATTATTTAAACCAATTAATTACTTATGTTTTTCACAGCCTTCTAGAATATTATATATATATATATATATATATATATATATATATATATATATATATATATTTATATATATATATATATATATATATATATATATATATATATATATTTCTTTTTTTTTTTATCACTAACTATTTCCTCTTATGACTGTATATTTTAATTATTTATTTGATTATAGTAAATAATCAAGAGCTACAAAATATTTTTAGTCTGACAAGAGTGTCACTTAAATGTATTGGTTCAAATTTCATTGTAGGTATTTTTTTGTTTTCATTAGTGAATATATATAAACATTTTAATTTTTATATTGCTGTAATCTATACGATTAAATATCAAATAATACCAACGCTAGCATTTATGAAAACCACACATGTATTTGTAATAATTATATTATCGGAACCTGTATTTTACTAAGTACATGTTACATATGGAAACTTATTTTAACTTTTCAGCCAAACTCAGGTTTCTTCAGTTCACTACTATGATCCCTTACTTATTATTATTATAATTATTTATTCCATTGGTTAATTATAAAGTACTTTCATATTTTATATTTGATCATTTTTTATAGCCCATCACAATGTGAAAAGGTTATTATATTATGAACCACTTAATTTAATCAATAATTGTTATTTGTGATTCCGTGGCGGATATACTGTATTGGTTCAGTCTGCAAAAACATGCTTTGTGTAGGCATGTACTGCGCTACTATCTTGTGGCAGATTGAGAACCCCGTTCACTTAGATTTATTTATTTCTATTGCTTTTTCAAAATTCTTGTTTTCATGAAACTGTTGCTTGTGCCTGAAGAAATGTGAATTGGAAATGGCCTTTAACGCTTGATGAGCCAGTACACATTGGCTGGCGAGAAATTATTAAAATGAAATAGCTGTAAGCTCACAGCGATTTCGGCTTCAGTTAACAAAAACTAAATTCTACCAAGTGTTCGAATAATGTTTGTTTGGTAAAATTTCAAGGTCTAAAGGGGACCCTAAACGGTAATTCCTGAATGAATGTCACAAGAAGTTCCAAGATTGCCCGCTATCGCTTTGATCATGAAGACCCTTACACGTTCACTCATTACTGATCATTACTTATCGTTGCTGATACCAATTTAGCGCAGTTGTAAACAAAGAAACAGCATAGATATGCTTATTTGGACATTGTCATTTATAATATTGGGCATCAAGAGAAAAACGGAGATATAATAATTACTTCCTAGTGCCTGAAAATCGTTTAGACCAAAGTTAGAAAAATATAAGTCAACTACATACAAAAATCTATGAAAAGTATTGTAAAAATAATCAATTTGTTAAGAAAAATGGAAAAATTAATGACAAATAAACACAACAGTTAAATATTTTTTTTCTATAAGTAAATTGTGAACTTTTTACTTTTTTTTCTCTCCAATTTATTGCCTACTTGACTATTTAAAGAAAAAATAGTTGAAAATGGTTAATAATAATATAGACTAGGGATATAAACAACTATTTACTTTTATGAAATTATTTGCTTAATAACGAGACCTAGGGAAACTAACCTATCAAGTAGTAAGGTTAGTCTCATATCGTTTTGACAAAAGTTAGTAAAATGTAAGTCTACTACTTACAAAAATTAAGGAAAGGTATTGCGAAAATAATAAATTTGTTGAGGAAAATGGAAAAAGAACTGATAAATATACACAACGTTAAAGTTTTTTTTTCCTAAAGAAAATTGTGAAGTTTCCTCATTTTTTTTTTAATTTGCTGCCCACTTGACTATTTAAAAGAAATAGTTAAAGATGGTTTAAAATTATAAACAAGGGATATGAAAAATTATTTAACTATTTACCATCTATAATGGTTGTGAGGCCTAGGTAACCTAACCTATCCAGCAGTATGGTTGGTCTCCCCAGCCCATATGTTTAGTCGGTCTCGCCTCCACTTATCGTGAATGAACCTTTGATTTCCGAATGTTCGGAAATCCGCAGCGCACCACCATCAGTACTTCATTCACTACCTTACACGACAATTCGGAACGTCATTAGTGCAATTCTGATTGACCATGTAGGGTCCCCTTAATTGTTTAAAAATTATGATTTACAATCTTTTTGTACCATTAATATAAATTTATTGTTCTCTAGTGCTCATAGATAAAATATTTTTGGATAAAATTGGTAAACTCATTTTTCTTGTTTCTTATGTAAATAATGAGCTTATACAATATTGTGGTGTAACTTTGTTTCAAAATCATGTTTCCTGCCATTTCTAATGGAGATAATGCACTATCCCAATTTTACCCCAACCAATGGGGTAAGATTAGGATAAATTAAAATTTTTTTTTTAGTAAAATACTCTTGCTTATAGAGTTATTGTTCAGCCACATTTTGTAAGAGGAAGATTGACATTATATGTTAATAATTTTTTCAGTATCTTAACTTTACGATAGATGCAGCTTAAAACTTTAAAAAGTGGTCCAAAGTTACCCCATCATTCGGTATATATTTCATATATAGGTAAGTGAAAGTCAAAATTCACATATCAAAAAAATAACAACTAACTGTATCAAAGATCATCAGAGAGGGTTTTATTTTATTTTATTTTTGGTTGGTTAGCTTTTAGATCTTTGGCCGCCTTAACCAGCCTTATCCACCTCTTGCTATCCTCGGCTGTTGATTTTGAGTTATCTGCAAGCGGCTCTGTAGCATCTTTGTTCATTCAATCAATCCATCTCGTTTTTGGCCTTTCACTTTCGTTTGTTCTATTTTGCCTCCTTTTGAGATAGTAATTGTTGTGCTGAGGCTTTCTGATGTATAGATCCGAGCTACATGCCCTGCCCATCTTAACGTTCATATGACGACATAATAATGGCCAGTTTCTGTAACCAGTTTATAGTTGGTACTTCTATTGCACATGTTAGTACTCTGATCCCAGATGCTCCAGTTATCATGCGGACTCTTTTCATCTCAAATCTTTCAATACTTTTTTCTAGGGTGCTGGTTAGTGTCAAGGTCTTGCTGCCGTATATCAAAACTGGCTTTATCAGATCATTGTAAACAATTTTGTAATGATAAATTCAATAATAAAAGGTTAAAATTATTATATAATGCAGTACAATTTACCTATTGAAAGCTTTCCATCTTTGGCAAATTTGCATATAGGCTTTGCATTGGATATACATAAAAACAACTCCTCCCGTAAATCCGATAGCAACAACAATGAGTTTTGTCCAAAATGGCCACTCCAAAACACCTTCGTGTATCTCTTCAGCAGTTCGATTAATAAGTACATACAATGACCACACAACACAGGTTATAGCGATCGCATGAAATATCACGGCACATAACAGCTTTCTTCTTTCGAATCCAGTCATTTCCAATGGCTCCCACTGAAAATAAAAAAATAATAATTATAAAAATCTACAATAAAAAAAAAAAAAACCATGTAGCCTAATAATCTGCTAACAGGATGACCGAAAAAAAATCTGGTGCGGTGAGTGCATCACACTGCTTTCATTTACCACCCTCTTCTTAGCAGAAATAAGTATTTCCAGACTAAGGAGAAGTGAAAGTAAAAATTATAAACACTATAGTGATTTATATTTCATTGTGGGTATTTTTATTTTTACTCTTATATATACAAATTTTAATATTTGTATTGCTATCATCATCATCATCATATGTGGCACAACATCTTACTGAGACATTACTGAGACTGGGCCTCCTTCAAGAGCCTCCGCCAGTTGGCGCTATAGATTTATATTGCTATAATCTATACAATTAAAGATTAAATAATACCAACAACAGCATCTATGAAAACCGCATATGTATATTTACATAATATTGTCGGAGTCCTTATTATATTAGGCTCATGTTACGTATGGAAGCGTGTTCTAATCTTTCAGGTGAGCTCGGGTGCGTTGGTATTCCTATCGTTTCTGAGACCTATGACAACTATTCTCCCTTATGATCTCTCATTTCTCCTTTAGTTAATTAAAATATTCTTTCATATTTTATATTTAAGCCTTGTTAGAGAACATCGATCTGAATAAAACCTACATTTTATTTAAAAGTGCTTAATTTTACACTGATATAATGAATTTAATCAAAATCGTTAGAGCCGTTTTCGAGAAAATCCTAAAAATGTTTTTAATCCATTATTTAAAGTGCCACTTCCGGTTAGCCGATTTTGACGAAAAAGTTGCTGTAACATCGCTAGCATACACAAACCTTAAATATGAAATTTCACTTTTGTACAACTTTTCGTTTATTTTATTTTAGTATCAGAAAAGTAGGAGATAACAGGAGCTCAACTTATTAGATGACTATTTTACACATTATGTAGCTATTCATTTAATTACATATGTGCTAAGCTCATGTTACCTCCTACTCTCCTAATACAAAATAAAGACTTTGGACTAAAAATTTGTATGGAAAACTGTATTCATCTGGAGGTGGTAGTTTGATTTTATCTAGGTGACAGTAGTTATTTTTCGATCTAGACAATTTCTCATGAATACAATATATTAATTATTATATTATATTGTGATATAATTGTAATTATCATGAAATAGAAACAGAAGCACAATATAATGTGCAATGAAAATATTAGAAATAAAAGGATCAAATTATTGTTGGGCTTATATGAAGATAGACAAGTTGAAGATATATTATCGTTACAAATTGGTAATAAGAATAATTATATAATACTATAAATTAGCAATAAGGCACAATGCATAATATAGATTTTAAAAGAAATTGAAAATTTGTCTGAACTGTGGTTTCGTTCAGTTTATATTTTATATTGATAAAAATTTACTATTTTCAAGATAATGCAAGGCATAGGGTTCGCATCCACACAATCTTACATTAATTGTAGTACTGTCATTGAATACATGTCTCATTTCGTCGACTTGAGGCATCTACGATCGAGAGAGAAGGAGTTAATATTATATATCAATGATGTTTTTGATCGGCAAATCATATCATCATTAATTCTTCACCAAATCCTACGATTGAGCCACCAATTTTGAAGGCTTCCTTCTCTTTCAGGCGGGCAAAATAATCCAATCACCTCAAAAATTCAGACAAACAAGTTATGAAAGAAAAGAAACTTTATTTGTGAATAACTAAAAAATTACACACTTTTCCGTTGGTCATGCCCATGATTATATGAAAGATGACTAAATTTCCTACAAAAAAAAAAAAAAATCATTGAAATCGGACAATTTTTAGCAAAGCTACAGCTTATTGAAATTTGTAAACATGTTGGTTCCAAACAGTAATGAGGTTTTAAATTAATTTTACTTTATTTTCTTATTAATTTGGTATTTGATTTGACGCAACAATATGCTGTGCGAATTTTTCGCACGGGCCTACTAGTACTAGGTAAATTAAAGTTATACAAATTGGGTATTTTCCCCTTTATATATTTCTAACATCAATACTTTCGGGCTGAAGCTCCCTTCCTCCCAAACAACAAAACAAAAATCTAATTATTTTCTACTTAGTCCTATAAATTATACTTAACAAAATTATTCCTATTATAAACTATTTCATTTCTATTTTATTCATAAGGGACTTTGACCCACAATAATTTTTCATTCATTAATTTATTTGATAGATGATAGATGTACTTTTTATTAACTCATCATGCCAATTTCAAAAGTTAAAACCTTACAAGTACAACAAAAATCATTAAAAAAATTGAGGTTTCAAAAGTCGGCTAATCAAGATGGTATAGTTCCCAAGAAATTATCTGGCTATATGTTTTAAAACCATAAATGTATTTTTGTTTTATTGTTATGCCATCATTTTGACAACATTTAAATACTATTTTCCAAATACCTCACCTTCTATTGCCGCTCAGCTGTTAATCTGAGCAAATGGCCAAGATCAAAAGTGTTTTTTGCTCAGTAATTGAAGTAAGTAAAGATAATCATTCGGGTGGGGAATGACACTAGTTTTCAACTTGATGGCATTTTCATGTATTTTATTCGGCTAAAACCGCTGTGTAACTAGTATTAAAATTTTTGTTTTTTCCAACTGACTTGCAAACAAACCATAGTCTAACGTAATGAATAAATAATTATATAATGAATGAAATAATTCGAACAGGTAGTGAGATAATATAAGCGGTGGTAATGACAACAATAAAGGTACATGCTCACCGTACAAGAAATGAATGCATAGAGAGAGGCTCCCAAACTGGTCGGTCTATCCGCTGGTGGTTGTCCTCTAACTTTAACTTTATCTGGGTAAGGGATCTTTTCCATTGGGAAGAGCAAATCACTTATTAAGTAAATTTTTACTTTTAACAGTTGTGGTAATAAAATATCAAGCTTCACAAATTGTGACTGTTGAACAGACTATCTTGATAATATAATATTGTATACATGAATAAATATATTTTGCTGATATCGCTTATACATCGACTGCATTAGAGAGAAGGAGATGTATCTGATTAAGAGTTCCCACCGAGATATACCAGTTGGTCATTCATTCATTAATTTTACTTTCAACAGAATAATTCAGATACAAATATAGTTTTCGCAAAAACAAACATCTTAATAAATATAAACATAGGAAAGTATATTTTAATAAATAAACAATTATAAAGATATTTGAATCTGATAAAGCAGAAAGGATAACTATCGATAAACAAATCACTCAATATGATTGAATAACTACGTGTTTGCTATTTCGAAATTCAAAATTAAAAAATGGCAATTTTTTTTTTTTATAATAAATTATCTCTTGAAAACAATAATAAAGAACCTACACAATAATTGTGTTTAAATATTAAACCAACAACATTATAAATAAAATATTATATATAAATATTATGACAATAATCTAAGGAACAAATACATCATACCAAGTTTTATATTATTTTTTTTTTTAACACCTACAGTAGGAAATTGTTAAAAAAATTAATTAGCTCAATTCCATTTTAATTCTAAATAACGCAATATAGTAAACACAAGCCAAACGTAACCTCATTCTATAAAAAAAAAAAAAAATTAACAGAAGTAGGACAGCTTTTGTTCAAACAAGAACCAGCTGCTATCAAACAATATGCATTAATGGTAATTAAAAGGTAAATATTTTGATAAATTCTGATTTGTTAAGAGCCACTCTTCAATTAATTGATGTCAGAACAGTTCAATATTTCTTATGGAGTAGAGCAGTTCCATTAAACAGAGAATCAAGTGTTAATTAATCGATGGAAGAACTATTCAATTCAATTATTTTTATAATGAATTATTTATCTCAGTACAAAAGGTAATACTAAAACTAATATTTTTACATTATTGTTATTATTAAATAAAAAATTAACCAGTTTCTGCCAAGATGACATATTGAACTGTAAACTAAAACATAAGAACAAGAATCAATAATAAAAATATATATTTTAAAAAAAATACAATTAACTGAATATTTTTTCTCACACTCTATTTTTATTATTATCTCTTCTTTAATAGAAAACATTATAATAAAGAAATTTTAGTATGGCACAGAGGATACAAAAAATAGCATAAACCTATAAACCTACTAATGATGGCAGATAAGCTTACAGATAAAAAAAAAATGTTGCCTACTTTCTAAACTACAAATAAATAAGATATATTTGTTCCCAAGAAATTTAGCCAGTATTAAAAAAAAATAATATAATATATAATAAATATATATAATAAAAAAATATATATAATAATATAATATATAAAAATATAATTACGAACAATCTTCATAACCAATAATGTTATAGAACCTTATAGACATAATAAAAAAATATAATTTTGGTTTAACGAAAATAACGTTTTTAATTAAACAGTTTAGAAAATTAACATGGCTTATTTGATGATACTTAATTAATTTGAAACATTAAATTAAAATTTTAATTCAACATTTTTGCTTCAGTACTTTACTTAAAAGAATTGAAAATTAGCTATTTCCAAATGAGAACTAACTTCTTAAGTAACTTGAAAATATAATGAATAAAATACAAATAAATAATTGTTTAATGCGATTAACGACATATACAACAAGACAAAGTGGTTTGTAATACACAATTTGTGAGCAATAAAACAGGGGCACAAAATTGTCAGTTAATTAAATAGTATCTATTTTAGCATTGCCTAAATTTAATGTCGCAGATTATTTATTTATTATACATTTTACAGGATATAGTTGTTTAAGTAATTTCTAAGTGAATGAAATCAAAAATATGTTTAATCAAAAAGTAAGGCTTACTTCCATGAAGGGCTTAGTTTTGGTGTGCATGATAAACTGGAATTTACACAATTCACAACATCGAATGTTGGACGATTTAATCCATTGCTGAAGACAGTTTTGGTGAACATAGCGAAGCGATCCGGAACAATAACAAGGAGCGATAAGACCTCCTTCAGTATCACCTTCACAGTGACATATTCTGCAAATTTCCACACTGGTTGAAGTTTGGCTAGATGACTGTGATTCACTTCTGCCATACACTTCTTGACTTTTACTTGATCGAATATACATCTACAACAATAACACCTGTTGTGATTTAGAGGCTTGAATAAAAAATATTAATTATAATGAGAAACCATCTCTTACCTGTGCTTCTTTGAATGAACCCTCTGTTTCTTTATTTTCAATAGGTGTCACATTTATTTGTTGCAATGGCATAGTTATCTAAATAAGTAATCATAACTATTGTCTTTCCATTTTTCAAAAAAAAGTGTCCAAGCTTCCCCTTTTTACTATTTCTGTGAAATTAGGGAACTCGTTCACAGTTCTATATTTAGTGTGAAAAATGTATGAAATTGGCATATTTAACAGTTGATAAATGGTATAAGTAAAGTGTCGTTAAACAATAAAAGATTGTTACTGTTATTTAATAAAATTATAGCATTCTTGAATAATAAATAGATGAATGCATTATACTGCACCATCGAAAATAGAAAATGACCCCCTATGAAAACTAAACACAGCTGATACGATCATGTGTACATTTCTCAGCTGTAGAAAAGATCAACTTATTGTAAACAACTGGAGGTTACTTTCTTATCTTGACATCATGTTGATATTAGTAGTTTTATTATTAATCTTGATAGATACAATCATCCTTATTTTAGATAAATGATCAAACCGTCAAATTCAACTAACCATCAAAACTTCTTTAAATGTATTAGATAATTCTGACTACATCATCATTGAAATATATTGAATCATTGCTTTCGAATTACACAATAACTTTATTGGAAATAGTTTAAAAACCTGTATGAGCCTGATTAAATATATCTTTTTGAAATGTTCTGAACCATGGAATGGCGATAAAAAGAATTTTTAGTCAGAGCATTTATTATATAACGTCATTGGAACAATTAGTTTTAGTGAAAACAAAACTAAAAACAATGCAAATCAATTGTTTCGTTTTCATATTTTGTTTTCATTTTGATTATATAATAACCAAAAACAAGGAATCTACAAAAAACATTAAATTATAAATATTTAATATTAAAACATCAATTGATGATGGCTTTTATTTCTATTAATACAAAAACAAATGAAATAGATGTCCCCAACTTTTCTGTTCATCCTATCAGGGAATGAAAGCGTGACTTGTTTATTTATGTTTTCAAATCACCCTGCTAATCAGGTGATCAAAGACAGCAACCTTATCAATCGTTTACTCACTACACTTATTATCTCTGATATCTTCCTTATATCACACGATTATTAAACATTTAATCTATAATTACTTCGATTAAAGTTATTTTTATTTTATTTTAAACTATATAAGTATAATGATATTTTAAAAAATCGGATAAACATAATACTAGGGGTTGGTACTAAACAACATTGATCGTGACGAGCATTTTCTGTTGTGTTCGTATTTAGAATTGAATTTAGAGATTTGGCTGTAACATGTAATCCACTTAGTGAAGAGTGCTGAGCCTTTAATTTATTTAAAGGATCTTCGTATTTTAATCTAATCTAACTACCATGGATGACTTGAGAAGAAGGATTCCTGATAAGAAAGAACCTGAATCAAGGCCTGATTCGGAAAGTGACCATGTAAGCATTCATGTTTTGGATAATTATAATTATGATCATTGTTTAATATAGATGCACATGTGGAAATATTACATTGAGAATTTTGATGCTCAACACATAAGGTTATGAATTGAATTCTTCATATCTGATACCAGTGATAACATAGTTGATAACATTACCTGGCATTTATATCCTCAGATTGGGTAGAAATCTATTAAAATAATTTCCCTTTGTTCTCCCTGTTGCGTTTGATTTGCCATATCTATAGCCGTTATCTTTATCCTTATTTATCTAATGTGAAAAAAAAAATAATCCTCATTTTATAAATTCCAAACATACCCTTGTTTTTTTGGTTTTAATATGCAAACTAATTAACTATACAAGTCTCTTGAAACTTACAATACTTGTATAAAAGCTTTTATATTTTTATTTTAAGATATTTATATATCAGTTGTGCTCAATTTAGGGTGCGAGAAATTTCAAAAATTACTCTTTTGAATTTATTTATTTTCAGTAAACAGCAACAACCTAGCCATAAAAATTTATATTTTATAGTAATTTATACTTTGAATAAAAACAGCTTTTGTTAATGCAATAAACGTTTTTTTTCTTATAAAACATATACACACTTTTTAAGTGGATACAAGACCTTACTTTCAAATTTAAAGAAGAATCACTGATATACTGTTATGTTTTTATTTATATATATTTATTTTCAGCATTTTATGTTTGTTGACATAATAAAAAAATATTGGGCCACAATATATATTTTACATCAGTTTTCTTATAATAATCTTTTTATACTCGTATAATAAAGGTTTATTCTAATTTTTTGCCCCCAATTTATTGTCTGCCATTCACAACCAAATTATTGTTTCAATTCAGTTAACAAGGCATCCTTTACTACAGATATTTGACAATATTATCAAGTTGTTTACTTAAGAGTATTTCTTAATCTCTATAAATTGTTTAGATGATAAAAACTCAAGGACTTAAAGGTGCTTTTGTCTTTATAACCTGATGAATAAATGTATGGCCTCCTATTGTTACAGCAGCAGACGATATATTCAGAGGAAGCTGTTAAATTTGTATTCGTTGAAGGTCAATTCAATAAAACTTAATCTGAAGGTTTTAATATTTTGGAAACATTAATCATAACTTAGTTTGTATTTAGAGATGATATGCCTAGTTATTATTTCTTACCTCAGCATTTTACCTATCAACATTACTAATGTGAATCAAACATATTTTTTTGTCAAATTGGTCAAGTATTTGAAAATGTCCTTAGCAGCTATAAAGTTAATATTTATCACAATTCAATGATTTTAAGGGAGGAAATAAGGTACATCAGCAAATTTTAAGCATATAGAAAAGAATTGATTATCCTTACCAATATTTGTTATTCCCAGTCCAAATAATTGACACAATTATACAGAGTTAAGTTAGGGTTAGGAACAAATAAGAACACAAAATAGAAATTATATTTTTATTTAAATATTAATAGCGGGGTAGCTCAGTGAGTGAGCACTGACTTCCAGAACTCAAGGTCTCAGGTTCGAATACGGCAAATGACCAGTAATTTTTCATTAGCCATGGACTGACCTCGGGGTCAGGACACCTCCATAGTGGTACGGTTTTTTTTTTTTTTTTTTTAATATTAACCATTATAATATATTTATGTAGTTATATTTGAAAAATTCTTTGTTTATTTTCCAATGATCGAACACACACTAAAAAAATGAAATAGATGAATAGAAAGAATCAAACAATTTCTAAGAACCTCAAAGAACTCAAGTTCAAAATCTTTTAGTTAACAAACTAATTATAACGAAGAATTGTTAAGAACTGATTATCAAAGTTTGCATTGTTGATCATTTGTTATAATTCGACCACCATTGCTCTCATATATATATATATATATATATATATATATATATATATATATATAATACTTGATATTACCATTGATAAACCATTTAATGTTAACATTTTCATGAAAAAGACATCAGCAAGTTTCTGTATTTTAAACATATATTATAGAACTCGAAACATTTGGTTTGTCACTTATAAATACGTATGAATTTCTATGATACAGATGTTGATGAAACACACAGTTTTCATTAACACTCAACATGAATTTTATTTAAAAAATCAGTATTTTTTTCTTATTAAAAATAAAAACTATATTTAAGCAATTATGTTTATTATAAAACATCCCATATCATAGGAAAACAATAAATAAATGCTTTACAACAAATATTTGCTGACAACATGCATATTTTTTCTTGTCAGGATGTAGAATAACATAATTTTTTTACAAAATTTGACGTGAATCTCAAATTTTTCTCTAATTAACTTCAATTTGATTACTACATATTTCAAAGTTATTACATGAAGAAGTTTTCCTAAAAGTGGGGTATCTACGGTATAATTGGCTAATGATAAAAAATCTCGAATAATTTATGATTTTTTTAAAAACAGAATTTAGCTTATTTTAACCACTCAAAAGTTCTCTTCAAAGTAACAATGCAAAGTTTATTTTCATTTAAAGTAGATTTTTTTTTTTATGTTGCTTTCATCACTCTTGAGTCAGAGATATAGTTGGTGACAGTGTAGTTGGAATATCAAGTATTATATATATATATATATACAAAGATACAAACAAAAATAGAAAATAAGTAAGAATAAAAAGAAAAAACAAAGGAGAATATATCGTAAGTTAAAAGTAAACAGATTGTGATAAAAGGTAAGAAATGACTGTATAACAAACTGGCTAAAGATTACATTTAAAAACTGTAGGTTAACAGATAAAGAAAATGAGTGTTGACGAATAAATAAATTAAAAAATGAATAAGTAATGATCTAGTAAAGCTAAAATAAGAATAAGATAACATAATAATAAGATATTATCAAGATATCACAATCTGTTTACTTTTAACTCTATATTCTCCTTTGTATTCTATTTTTATTCATACTTATATTCTGTTTTTGTTTGTATCTTATATATATATATATATATATATATATATATATATATATATATATATATATATATATATATATATATATATTATATATATATATATATATATATATATATATATAATGCTTGATGTTTTAACTACATTGTCACCCACTATATCTCTGATGTCATCTTATTATTTCTTTATCAGGCAACTATTTCTTACTTAATATCTACTTATTTGACCGCACCCCCTGACCAACTCCTTCTCATATATATATATATATATATATATATATATATATATATATATATATTATATATATATATATATATATATATATATATATATATATATATTTATACATGAACAATTATTTCTCAACCATTCTTTTGATCTTCAACTCCTTGAACGAAATAGTAGATTAAAACATTATTTTATCTTTCTGTTGTAATATTTGCTTAAAGAAATAATTCGATTGTTGTTTGTTTTTGTTTTGTTTTTTCTGAAGATTTTCTACACTGATTTACGCATATTTTTTTAAATGTACAAAATTACAAGCTACCCTATAATATAGTTTTATATATATATATATATATATATATATATATATATATATATATATATATATATATATATATATATATATATATATATACAAAAAGGTAAACTTTTTGTTATGGTTTTAGTGAAAGTTATTATATGTACAAAGATTTGTAAATTAATCTTTTTTTCATTTTAATAATGATAAATTATTAGGTTGTATGCCATTCATTCATTCAATTTTTCTATCTTGGAATAACTGTTTTTCAATTTCACGCTTATAAGTTTTTCCAAACAATAGCCTTAATTTTTTTTTTTTAGCTTCCTTTTATTTTATATATTGAAAAATATCGGCACCAACATGATCTCAGTGACCAAGAACTGTCTTATCTACTTTTACTACCTCTCTGGCCAAGGCAATCATGTTTTTGAAATTATTGTTATTGTATAAAGGAATCCTACTTATTATTTCTAAAAGGTGTTTTTTTTTTTTTTTTGTCCATACACTATAATTTCGTTAATTCTTCATCAAATCTAATGATTGGCCACTCATTTTGAAGATATTCTTCTCCTTCACATGTGAAAAATAGTCCTATCCTTCCTAAATTTCTTGAAAAAAAAAGTTATGAAGGAAAACAAACTTTATTTGCGAATAACTCAAAAAGTATGCATTTTTTACCCGATTGTACCCATGATAATTAGATTGTAATTGCAAGATTGGTATATTACCTGCAAAATAATAAACAAATCAGACAATTATTAACAAACATGCAGTCCATTGGTTTTGGTATACTTAATAATTTCTTCCTCTTTTAGTATTCTACTTCACTTTTTTTCCTTGCTTATATATTAACTTTATTATTTCTTAAAGGCGTTTGTTTGTTCTTACATTTTATTTTTTTTAATAATTTGGAAAATCCCATAATTATGGCTTTATTTTATCACTGTTATCTTTCCAGTCAGCATTTAAAAATAGGTCCTAGCAAAGCAATTTGAACAAACATTTATGTCTATTATGTTAAATGGAATATTGTAATCGACCGAGGAAAAAATATTAATTCCTTCCTTACATAATACATAAGATCTACTTATTTCCATATTTTTTTGCTATTTCTTCATCTAACAAAATAGTCTGCAAATTATACTATCCGTGGGCTAACTAGTAGCATAATATTCTTGGTCCAAGACAGTAATAATTTTCATTCAAGGAGTACATCATAGTGTGGTATAACTAGCATGTGATAGTAATAAAAATATATATAACCTCTTTCTTTATCACTACACATTTAAAGAAAGTTGGTGTGGCTTGATGTGATTTGGACTGAGCCAATGGTGCTAAAGCATTTTCGTTGTTCTGTACTTATGCATCGCCCACATTTGGATCATTGATAGAGCATCACTCATCTCCATTTAAGTGGAAGGCTGTTGTGAAGAGAAGGACAAGAACCGACACAGAACGATGAAGATGCAGTGAGGTGCAATATATGGATTCCTTTTGCTTCTCTGGGCTTTGTCTGCTGTTGGATGTAGACATGGGCTCTGGCGGTACCTCTCTGCATGGATACTTGGCTTACAAGAAACACATATTGGAACTGAGAACTGGAACCGCTCATCCTGATTTACTCACAGCTGTGTGGTACTATAGACTTTGATTGATAGTGCCACGGGCGGATCTACGGGGGGGGACTTTCGGGCTGAAGCCCCCCCCAAAATGGTAAAATATATCCATGTTTTATCGAAAAAAATATTTAAAAAAGTATCTCTTAAAGTATTATTGTTCGTTTAATTACATTTAAAAGGGCTTTAGGAATCACTTAAACACCATTTCATATGGATAGTTAGTTTCTTTCTTTTTTTCCAAAGTAATTATCGTTATTTTTATGAAAAAAAAAAAGCTTTCGGGCTGAAGCCCCCTCCCAAAATTAAATCCTGGATCCGCTAGTGGATAGTGCTGTTATACCAAATCTATATATATATATATATAAATGAATGTATGTCTGTCTGTCTGTCTGTCCTTAGTGCATTACTAAACCATTCAACTGATTGCCATGAAACTTTGGGAAGTTGTTCCGTACACTCCTGGGAAGGTTTCTGGCATAGTACTTCTGTCTTACGATAATTTTATGTATGTGAAAAAAATAAAAATGTAAATGTTTTTCTGTTCAAAGCCGCAAAAAAATGTGTCGCTATAAACTGTAGTACCAAAACGGCTTTACCGAAACTTGGCTAAAGTCTTCCCCTTGAAACCCTTTTAATTTATGTGTATAACATACTTTCCCGAAAACAAGCTGAAAAATGTTACGATGAATTCAATATTCTATTTGCCGATAACTAAAAAAGTACACAATTTTTTATGGATAATACCCATATTTATTTGAAAGATTGCTGAATTGCTGACAAAAAAAAAAAAAAAAAATCATCGAAATCGGACGGTTCGTTGCACAGTTATAGAGTTTTAAACATTTACTGCTTTCTCTTCAGAAAAGGCCGTTTTCTTTTGCTTCCTCACTACCGAAGGTGGGCAAGTATTTTTTTATTTTTTTTTTATTGATTCATCGAAATTTTATAATTACTACAGTAATTGAAATTATCATTTGAAGAAGTTATATGATTCTCCTTATGTAGGTCAATACTATTATACGTCTTTTTTTATTAATTTTTTAATTTAGTTTTATAAGTTTAACTCAGACTGTTTCTGATAATTATGAATGACGGCATATTCACTCAGATGATTATGAATGTTCAATTTGAATCATGAGAAAAAAAAATCATTAGAATTAGTTTAAATTGAAGCCATTTTACAGACAAATTTGTTTCCCAACTTTTTAAAAATGACAGATGTCCTTTGCTACTAATCTACTCATACGTGCTTTCTATTTTCTTTCTTTTTCATTTTGCCAGGCTAAGCCACAGCAGCGCGTGGCCGGGCAAAGCTAGTTAGTTTATATTTATAATTGTTGTGAAGTGAGTTCAATTAAAGAACCCAGAGTCACGTGTAAAATTACTTATTTAATTAATAACCTTTAAACTTGGGTAAACCCTTAGTTACGAGGGACCTATGGCCTTTAAAATACTTTCTTATCGTGTGTATTTGTATTGATTGCTTTCTGGCAGTCGATCTGTGAAAGTGATTGCATGACTTATTTGATACTTGAGAAGCTATAAATGAATGAATTATGAGAAACTATGAATGAATGAACCATGAGAAACTTAACATCCCTTAGAATTTCACTTAAATCCTGTTTGCTCTTGCTCCATAATGTTGTTTTGTTGGATACATCCCATGGAAGTCAAAATTTTGAAAAACTATTAAGCCGTATTATTGGCTTGGCAGTCTTTTGGTTTTGGCGATTCTTTTGTTTGTTTCAGAATCAAATGTGTTTTCCTTAAATAGAAGTCCTATGGAGATGTAACTGGAGATGTTTCTGATTGAATGTGGCTAATGGTCCACTGACACTTTTAAAGTGTTTAAGCAAATAGTTTGAAATTAGATTTGTCACCAGTTCTGTGTACACTTGATAGAGTACATTGTATATTAGCACTAATTTGCATTACAGCTATGATAGGAACAGCCTATGTTTCATTTGTTATTATGCACTTCCCAGCTTTAAGCCAGATTAGTTCATTTACCTTAACCGCCTATCGTCAGGGGTATTATTAATTGAATTCTATTAAAAAAAAGTTATTATTATTTTATAATTCTTTTATTATTTTACACTTCTCGTCTTTATGCATGACTAATTCTCCAACCCCGACCTCGGTCAGGTGTATGGTTCATAGGTTAATTAATTTGGAGAGAAGAATAGTTGGGGTGATCAGTCAAATAAGAAGGCAAAGATAAATGATAATATTTATTTTGACATTAGCCGACGTTTCGACCTGAAGTTCAGGCCATCATCAGGGCTAAGAAAAGAACCAGCTAATTAGGTATAAGAAACATAAGTAGTGTAGGTAAAAAAATTAAAGTAAAATTCAGTTGTTAGAATAATGACAATAGTAAGAACAAAGAGATAAATGATAATAAGCTGTACAAAGTGTGGAATGATGAAGTAAACATGATGAAAAAAAAAAAAAAAAAAAAGGTGACATAAGTATTAAAATGGAAATCTTAGAATAAAATGTAAAAACAGAAAAATATGAAGTTATATAAGAAATGGAAATAAACAGTAAATTTAAGATATTGTGAATAGAATAGTTAGATAGAAAATCGAGATGTTGTAAAGCCTATCAAGATGTATAGACAACGTATAATATAATACAGAGTTAAAACAGAGCAGAGGGATGAAAGGAAGGAGGAAGGAAACTGAGAAGGCTGAAATAAGAACCAGAATAAGAAAGAAAAATAAAAATAAAGAGAAGACCTACCTGGTTACGGAGATGTAAATCAACGCAATGAGGGTGTTAGTCAGGGTGGGGGTGGAGAGAAGGGATGTATAGTAGCGTTGTTAATTAATTTGAAATATCACAAAAATTTCTGACGATGCTGGATGTTCCCAGCATTACAAATTTCTGGATTTCTTGAAGTCATTTTATTTCCAGTACCTTCATCGATTTTAGATTTTCTTTAGGAATCTAGCCATTGCTGGATACTGTAATTGATGGAACTTATATTGTACTTCCGCAATGTTCTAATTATTTTATTTTTATTATTACAGCGGGATGAACTCGACTCCGAGGATGATAAGGTAGATGCTGCTCAGACCATTCCTCAAGGAACTGACAAAACACCTGAAGTGCTCACAGACGTTTTAAGCGGCCTATCTTCAAGGTAACAATTTTTCTTTATAATTATTATTTGTATTTTCACTTACTGTCCTGCCGTATCTTCTGTATTTATGTGAAAAGCTAACTCAAAAATGAAAAGTTCTATGAATCTAAAATTAACTATTTGAGGTACCATGCTTGGAATGTTACCGTAAATTTTATCTATAATTGTCTTACCAGATGTGTCACTTTTTGTTACAATGTTCTCGGAAATATCTATAATGATTTTCATCTAACTCTTTATGCCAATGTACAATTAAATGGTCTTTAACTTAGATTTAAATAATAAGAAAATTATGATTAAAATAGTCTGATTGGGCTTAAATACCGCATTTACAAAATGGCTTTGTCTATATATATATACCTTAAATATTAAATATTGAAATTTAAATATTATAGCTGCGTCACCACATGTTGCTTGGTCTCCCATTTTGAATACCCCTGATTTATTAAATTATCTTTAACATTGTTAATTTGTAGTAATTAATCCTCTCTTGTTCTTATTATAAATAAAAAATTGATAAATTTTCCCAGATTGAAAATCAAATTTTCAGAAATAAGATTAATAAAAAAATACGGTACCATTTCAATCCATGAAGGGTCATGGGTTCAGTACTTTGTTATGAAGTACTGTTTCAAGCCCAAAATTTGTGCATGGACGAGATCGAGCCAAGATCACTCTCAACCGCCAGGTTTTCCCCTTTAATTAATTATATAATTAAGAGTACCTACTTTATAGAGGCAGAGTGTGCTCTTGGAGGGCAAGTTCACAGCTGCTGTAATAGGATAAATAATTACCTGCCATCAGGTGGATTTGATCCCAAGACCTTTAGCTTAGGAAGCCAGTACCTTACCCATTGAGCTTAAAGAACTACATTTCGAATGAAAGTTGTGTGATGTTTGCACTTTGACAGATTTCCGGTATTGATTGTGTGTTTAGACAATGAACAATTTCGTTTTTTAGATGGAGAAATTGGGTGATAAGGACTATATTCACCCTCTTTATGATTGGTTTGTTCGGGTTTATTATTTATTTGGGACCACTCGCTCTGATGATCACAGTAAGTAAATTGAAATTATTTTATTAAATAGATAAGGATGAACAATAGTCAGGATGTCAGGAAACGTTTCGACCCACCTTGTGGGCAGACCAGGGCAAAGTGTATTGTTATAATTATTTAAAGTACAAAAGTATTTTGTCTTTATAAAAGACGGTGTATTTTAATTTCAATGTACTTAAAATGCTTGCAGAAAAAGTATTTTAAATACAACAGACATTTATTGTGTTATATTTGAATTAAAAAAAAAACAATACAAATTACTCACGTCTAATGTGTCTAGTTGCACTTTACAATTGATTCCTATAAAAAAATTATTATTTTTTTGTAAGGAAAGCAGTTGAAATATGAATATGAAAAGAATAAATATGAAAAGAATTCACTGTAGATGTAGCTTTAAAACATTCAATTGAGGAAAAAATATTTTATCCGATCAACATTTTTCTTAAAGAGCAATTTGTTAAAAAAAGTTATTGACCAACAAACAAATAAATACTATGTAGATATTAATTTCAAACCAAACTTTCTAGCAATTGGCTTTTGTATAATAGCCGTTCCTCAAACAGTTGATCATTCAACAATTTCATTCTGAGAACATCTAATACATTAGAGAATTACTTACCAGTTTTATTGCCAAAAATAATTTTATTAAAAATTTAGCACCATCGACCTTAAACAATTTCCAAGCTCAATTTTCATGGGCGAGTTCTTATACGAATGATTAGCCTTACTACGTAACTGAAAGGTACTTTCTTAATTTCATAATGAATTTTATTTTTCAACATACAAAATAAAATCAAAGTTTTTTTTTAATATTTTAAACTATTTTATTTGAAATACTGTCCAAGTCTGCTTGTGGGTCATCATCTGGGCTAAAAATTAAAAAATACAAAATTACATCAGAAAAATGATAAAAATAAAAGTGTAAGAGGAGAAAAATATGGAACATACAAATAAGATAACAGTAAAATATAACCAACAAAAAATAAAAACATTACAATATGATAAGAAAATGTTTTTGTGTTATAAATAAATGAAAAAGATAATCGTATAAAAAATAAAAACATTACAATATGATAAGAAAATGTTTTTGTGTTATAAATAAATGAAAAAGATAATCGTATAAAAAATAAAAACATTACAATATGATAAGAAAATGTTTTTGTGTTATAAATAAATGAAAAAGATAATCGTATAAAAAATAAAAACATTACAATATGATAAGAAAATGTTTTTGTGTTATAAATAAATGAAAAAGATAATCGTATAAAAAGTAAAAACAAATAAACCAAATCATTAGTACAAATAAAACAATTCAATATATAAGAAGTATACAAACAAATAATAATAATAACAAATGTGAAAAACAGTATATAGAAATAGAGATTAAATAAATTTGTTAATCCCTATTTAAAATCCCTGTTTTTCATATTTGTTAATTTATATTTCTATGCATTATTGTTTGCATACTTCTTATTTATTGACTTGTTTTATTTATACTAATTATTTGATTAATTTATTTTTGATATACTTATCTTTTCCATTTGTTTGTAACACAAAACATTTTCTTATCATATTGTAATGTTTTTATTATTGCTATGTTAATATTACCGTTATCTTATTTTTTTACATTTTTAGCCCAGATACGATGGGGTCGAAACTTCAGCAAACTCAATGAACTTATTTTTTTAACTATACATCATGACCATTTTTTCATCCTTACGATTTCAACAGTCAACTATGTATTCATCTCTGAATTAAATAAATTTAATTTTTGCCTACATAGCTGAAAGAAAGATATCACTCACTTAATGACTGACTTAGTGATCGATCACTGTATCTCAGTAATTGTCTTATAGTTTATCTTATACTGTAGTTTATCTTATACTGTAGATGTGCGGTAAGAGTGGTTTTGGAAAAAAAAGTTGTTCACTAAGTAGTAAAAATAAAAATTATTTAAAACATGTAAAAATATATATACTTTAAATCTTCTGAGATATTTCACTTAGTCGTTTGAAAGATGAGTGACTTCTTTAGAAAATAAAGAAAAATAATCTTAAGTATTAGCAAAGATACATTGTATTTTTTATTTACTTTACATACATTTTTATTTTTAAACGTTTACTTGTTCTGTTTGTTAATAAAATAATTCTTTGGCCGTTTTAGCGAATGTTAACTGAATTTAATTAATTTCTATTTGATGATTTGATTATTATTATTATTATAAGCTTAAATGAATTGAAAAATTTTGTCTCTTCAGTTTAAAATTTCATGTACAATAATGTCTTTCAACTAACTGACTAGGATTTTATGTTCAGATGAGGATTATCTAAAATTTGAACTATTTTCTTGTTGTGAATCCTTTCATTGAATTGAATATCTCCTAACCTATTCACATGTTTTTGAAAGCTTCCTCTCTCATAGTAAAAAGTTAATTAAAATTCTATATAAATAAAATAAAAGTTTTGTCTGTACATTGAATAGAATCAACCCGTTTCATGATATCTTTCCGTTTCATACAATACAGATACCAAATCCACTTTTAAAAAAAATTTTGTCTGTCTGTATGTCCACATTGTTCAATGAAATTTTGTCAGGAGTAAGCTCAGCAATGGCTAATGTTAGACTTTTGAAATTGTATTTAGGTTTGCTTGACTTAATACATTTCAATCGACTCCACAATCTCCTTGCTTCATCATAAATGAAATTTAAACACTTAAATTAATGGATCAGTGGTCGGTTTAGTTGTGTGGCATCTAAACAAATAGCCAAATTACAAAGTTTTTATTGTGACTATTGCGAAACCTTGACTTCCATAAGCCCCCATAAAAAAAAAATTCAAAACAAACCCTCCTCACCTAATTTTATAAAATTAGGTTTGGATCCTCCCTCCCCCCCCCCATAATTCAAAATCTATCTCAAAAAAAAGATTCTCAAATTTTAACTATACACCCATCAACGACAGGTTCATCAACTAGTTCATTGATAAAATATTCGTAATCATCATGAACAAGCTCACAATAGGAGAGGTTCAATATTTTTGTTGTTTTATTTTTTATGGGATAGTCTTGTTTTGGCTGAAACTACCCCACCTTTATTATTTTCTAATTGTCGATATATATTTATTTTTATTTTTGAAAGAAGAGACAATGAATATATTCTTCAGCTGTGTGTATATGCTCTGATACAATTCTATTAGTCTATGGTACAGACGTCTTTTTATCAAATTATTAACATTGTGTGTTTATTATTAACAACTTTGTGAATAGTTTCATCTCTTTGTAGCCTAAAACTTTTATATTTACAAAAATTCTCAGAATTGGGACATTTTCAATCTGGAGATTGGCAAATTTTATCTATTTAATTAGGTACTACAAACAAACTCATGTTTGCTTTCCAGTTGAATCGTAAGATAATTTGATCACAAAATTGGAAATAAACAAAAAAATGTTGAATTCTTCTTTTTTTCTTTTTGCTAGGAAGTTGTATGTTATTATCTGGTTTGGGCAATTAAACAACAATTGATTTATTTGTTGTATTTATAATTTTACATGTTTACGTTTCGGGAAATTTACTCCCATCTTCAGAAATACAATTTCTTTGTCGATTCATGGCTAAAAATTAGTTAAATATAATGCATATTACAATACATGTCAGAATTGAGTTGTCACATTAAATTTGTAATTACCTTAAGTCTAATGTGCTCCATTGTCAGGTTCTAAATTCATGTTATAACAAATTATAGTATATATTATCCAGAGCATCATTATGCCTTTAGACCAATTATTGGGTGTCTGCCATGGTGAATACAATTAATCTTTGGATATGACTATTTATTTTTTACTATTGTTGTTAAATGATTATTTTTTTTGTAGCTGCAATTTCATTTATACTAAATTTAAATTTTTTTTAATATATCAGCATAATGTGTCCCCAAACATTTGGTGCCTGTTTTGTAATTTACTGTTGTTCTATTGTTTTTTGTGATGTGTATGGCTTTAAGTAATTTTCTATTGTTTTTTGGTTCTGTGCATAATATCTGTGGTTTATTGAAGTTGAATTTGTGTTGTAATTTTATGCTGTGATATGCTAAAGCTGTTGTGTTTATGTTTTTTGTATTTTTACAGTTAGAGTAATGTGTTGTGAAATTCTGGTCCCTAAATGTTTGGATGTTTCTCCAATGTAGATTTTGGGGCAGTTTTGACAATTTAATTTGTAAATTACATTTTTCTTGTTTATTAAGTCTATTTTATCTTTTGTATTGGTTATGTGCCTGCTCAGTTTTTTATTATTATATTGCTCAAGTTTGATTTTTGTTTTGTCATAATTTTTAAAAACGTCTTTAATTTTGTTTTAAGTTCTGGTATATATGTCATTTTGTAGCAGAAGTTGAAAGTCCATTTGTCCGTTTGTTTGTGACAGGTTGTCCTGATTGCTCTCGTTTGTGGAATTTGTTTTTTCAAAAAATTGGATGATGAATTGTGTAGGTCTTTATTGTAATGTTTTCTTTTGGTGTTTTTTGTGTTTCTTGTTTTTTAGTTTTATTATCATTATGGTTTAGTGTTGTATATAATCAACTGTACCAAAGTTTGTTGATTAAGTTTACTGGGTAAAAATTCTCAATAAGTATTTTGTATATTTCTGTTTTTATTTTTGGAATAAAAGGTTTGTCAGTAAGTTCTATTGCTTTGTGTATTAGGTTTTTGGCTGTATTAATTATTTGATATTTGTAAATAAATAAAAAAAGGTGGGCTACAAAAATATTGGGCTGTTTGTAGTGACCTCCACTCCTATCATGCCAAAATAACGAGATTATATTGGCCAAAAAGCCCAATATTTTTGTAGGTCACTGTAATGATTGTGTGTAGACAAAAAGAAAGGTTGAGTAAGCTCCCAAATAAATCAATCTATATATTTGTCAACAATGTACAACATCACATGTTTTACATTAACATCTAACAATAATAATAATACATACTACATTATCCCCCCCTCCTTTCTGATCGTTTCCTTATGTGATCAGCATGGCTTCGCATTAGCTTCCCGCTCGTTTCTATGTCATAAGAGAGAGGTCCTTTTTTTTTAATCACAATGCCTTTTACCCATCCTTCTGTATCCTTACGTTTACCCAAACTTGCTCACTTTCTTCGAAACTGCGTTCTTGTCCCTTTCTATTGTGGTACATTTTTTGTTTTAGCCTGCTTTCTTGCATCTTATCTCTCATGGATGGTTTTAAACGATCCAATACTGAATGCAACCTTCTGCCAATGAACAGTTCTGCCAGCGTTTTTCCTGTTGAGCTGTGTATTGTAGTTAGGTACGCAAAAAGCGTTACTCACAATCTTTCATGCTTATCTATATAAGCAGTGTCATTTCAGAATCGTTTAAATGTTCTAATTGCACGTTTAACCATCCCATTTGATTGACTATGATAGGGCATTGTAAATATTTGTTTCACTCCATTGTCTCTTAAAAAGCTCTTAAATTCCTTTTTATTCACGCAAATTAGCTTGCATTGTCACAAACAATTTGTTTGCAAATCCCATATCTTGAATATAGGAATTCTAATATATGGAGAGTTTTTCTAGCTGTAACTGATTTCATTTGGAAAATTTCTAGCCAACGAGAATAAGCATCGATAAGTACGAACCAAGACAGCCCTTCAAATGGTCCTGTAAAATCTATATGGAGTCTTTCCCAAGGTCCTTCCGGAATGTTCCAAGGGTTCAAAAATGTTTCAGGTTCACTTGGGCAATTTTTCTGACAAACCTCACAATTTTTAACTTATCTATTTCCGAATTAATTTTAGGCCACCAAACAGTCAATTTTGCTAACGACTTAGTAGCCTCTATGCCAGGGTGTCCTTCATGGAGTTTTTTAACACAACTCCTCTTAAGGACTTCAGAATTACCAGTCTGTTCATCCACATCAGTAAACCCTCTTCTATACCCAGCTCTTCTCTTTTCTCATAAAAGGGAGTTTCATCGTCTGTCAATTCCTTTTTATTTGGCCATCCACTTTCTATATACTTTATCACCTTATTTATTACTTTGTCTTTCCAGAGCTCCTTTATGATGGTCGTAGATAAGGAGCATTCTTCTCGGATGACTTTTCCAATTTTACTAATACAATTATTACTTCCCACTTCTAAAAAAGAAACCTCTGTAGTCTGCAATGGAAGTCTCGAAGGAGCATCCATTCTACCATTGTCTTTAATGGGTCCACTTTCTCTATTACTCCTTCGTGAATAAGCCGGTCTATTTCGTGAACGGCTGCTCTTTTTGAAGAAAATGGAACACTTCGAGCTTTAATGAATTTTGATGTTACCACATCGAGTTGCTGAATTTTGGCTTGGAATCCCTTCACTGTTCCAATTCCGTTTTGAAAAAGTTCAGAGTGTTGTTCAAACACCTTATTTTTAGCCTGTTGGAGGTTTTCGTCTGAAATTCTTGAAATTTCTGAGTTGTTAACATTACTTGACTTGACGTGTTTACATATAGGGTATAATTTGAATGCTTTAATCCAATCTCAGCGAAATAAAGGAGTGGCTTCGGTTTCAATCACGACCAATTTCAGTTTTAAACATTGCTTTCCTACTTTAACGGACACCGAGCATTCCTCCAACAAATTCAATAAGGAATTTGATTCCAATTAGGAATTGGATAAGTCTTTAAATTATTGGTCCTTTGTAGTGGTGGATTTCCTATATACTTCCATGTTTTCTCCTACAATGCTACATGCAGCAGCTGTGTCATATTCCATTAGAATATTTTTGTTGTTTAATTGAACCCTGACCAAAAACCGAGAATTATCTGAAGTAATCGCGTTGACGTCTAGTACGGTGTTCACTTCATATTCGCTATCTGTATAGTTCTCTGAACTTACCGTATTTACTGATTTTATTTTCGCCTTTCTTTTATTTAGCTTAATTTTGCCAGATTTCAAACAATTCCTTTCCCAATGACCATAAGAATTGCAAAGTCTACAGGTGTGTTCGCTAGCTGGACATTTTCTACCCTGTTTATGTTTCTGGTACCGCAACGAATACATTCTGTAGCTGGATCTACAATTCTAATTATTTTATTTCCCTGCTCGGTCTTAGTTATCCTACAGATATGAGTTTCTTCTGCCGTATCCTCTGTGACTTTTTTTTGTTCTTGGGCTAACTCAATAATAAGAGCGGATTTTTCAATTTCTTTTGAGCTTGCGTTTTCCTCTGGATGACGGTAAAAAAGCTCCTCCTGCATCGACGGGTTTTTCAATCCTAACAAAAATTGATCACGTAATTGTTCTTCCAGATTACGTCCAAATCTTTTGTTGTCGATTGCAATTTCATTAAAAATGATGCTATTGACTGATTTTTATCACGGAATACTTGCCCAAATTTTACTCTTTCTGCCAGATAACTTGTAGTCTGTTTTAGATATGTATCTAAAAATGTTTTTATTTCATAATAGGGCAATTGAGTAATTTTTGTAAGATGGAAATAATCCACCACCAGTTTATATACTTCTGTTCCCACACATTTTAACAATAAATTGCGTCACGACTTCTATATGATTTAGTCTTTACCATTTATATTTTTTAATTTCTAATTCCAGTTCAAAACAGTCAATATAATATTCCCATTTTTCTGAATTATTATAAGGAGGAAACTTAAATGTACTTTCTCGTTCTTCTATATCATATTTACTTTCAGTTAATCTGTTTTCCTTGGTACTCCTGGATGAGTTAATGGACTCAGAAAAATTAACTTCCTCATCCAACTTGTCTGTTTTAGAGTTTCTTTTTTTTCTGTCTGTTCATCATCGTCGCCACATGTATTGATTGTGTATAGACAAAAAGAAAGGTTGATCAAGTTCCCTAATAAATCAATCTATATATTTTTGACAATGTACAACATCATGTGTTTTTACATTTACATCTAATAATAATCCATACTACAGTTACTTTTTTTATCTTATGATTCAAGCGGAAAGCAAATGCGTATTTATGAGTTATTAGCACCTCAATATATTCATTAATTTATTGAGAAAATGCCCTATTTCTGAGAATTTCAGAGATAAAGAATTCGTAGGTTCTGATGAGATGAGTTAAGGTCATTCACAAAGTTTTAGGTGGACGTTAATAACCTGGTAAAAAGGATCATCGCACCATGGACTATGTTAAAATATACGTCTTTGGAAAACGTTAATTTATGATTTTATTTTCTGATTCATTGTTATAATAATAAATATAATTCTTTTCTAGACCTTGTTGGTGCAGGTGAAGTGTTTTGAAGAAATAATTAATATTGGTTATGCTGTCTACCGTATTCATGGTCTTCCATGGTTTAGATCTCTCTCGTGGTATTTTCTTTTGACCTCTAATTATTTCTTTTATGGAGAGAGTTTGGTTGATTATTTTGGTGTAGTTATAAACAGAACTGTAAGTATAATGAATAAACTTGTTTTTGTTATATATTTTGTATAAATTCATTTTTATCAATATTATTCTCTATTTTTCAGGAGTATCTTAAATTTTTAGTTACCTACCATAGGTTTATATCGTTTTGTCTCTACGTATCCGGATTTGTATGGTTCGTCTTATCGCTTGTAAAAAAGTATTATATGAAACAATTTTCTCTATTTGCATGGACCCACGTTGCTCTTCTCATTGTTGTTACTCAAAGCTACCTAATTATTCAGAACATTTTCACAGGATTGATATGGTATGAAACTATTATGCTATTTAAAAAAAAATTAAAATGAGATTGTTTTTTCCTACTTGTCATTATTTTTTTAGGTTTATAATTCCTGTGTCTATGATTGTTTGTAATGATGTGTGGGCTTATCTCTTTGGATTTTTCTTTGGCCGTACACCACTCATTAAGTTGTCTCCTAAGAAAACCTGGGAAGGTTTCATTGGTGGTGGCATCGCAACTGTGATTTTTGGACTTATTGTAAGTATTTTATCTATAACACTGAAAACTGTAGTAAATAACAATCATATGACAGAAAATTTTAAAATAACTTAAACATTACCATCTAATTTTATTTTACATATACAAAATAATACTCAAAATTATTCACAATCATTCATTTAAAAAAAAAAATTAGCTATGTGCTCTATGTAAGAAACCAAATTTAATACTTTGAACAAACCAACATAAAGAGAACTAAGAAAGAAAGTTTTAGTTTGGTAAGTGTCGAGTAAAGTTAATCCATTCCAGATTTACCATCTAGCTCTGTCTCTTGCAAAAATATTCGTCTTCTTCAATGTTTTTCTTCTTGCTTGTCCCAACTCGGATAGCTAATCCTAGGTCCTCCTCCTCTCATTCCAGGAAGGAGACTCTGCATATTTAGTTTCATTCCTGATCCTATATATGCGTGATTTGTAACCCACTCTGTGCAAATATTTCATTTTTGCTTCAGTTATTTGACTTCATTTGTTGTCCGGGAGAACCCAGCTCTCTGCTCCTCTTACTCATTTTTCCATCAGGGGACTCTTTGGTTCCAGGCCATTAATTCTCACAATGGTTTTTTGGTGTCTGGTATGTTGATTGTATAACGAGTATCAAACCATTCAGCACGTTCTTTGCTCTCAGGGCTTTCCATAATTCTTCTCTTGGTACTTAGTCAAACACAGCTTGAATATCCAGAAAAGCAAGTAATAAGCTTTTATATTGGTCCCAGGCTTTCTCGATTAAGATTCTTAAAGCGAAGATATTATCTTGGATTTTCTGTCCAGGACAGAACGCTGCTTGTTCATTTTCCAGATTTTCCTCAACTAACTATTTGATTGATTTTCCTCTTCACCAATTCATTAATTAAGAGGACCCACTTTATTAAAGGTCTCCCGACTCCAGAGCTGATCACCGATGAAATAGAATAGATAATTACCTGCCATCAGCCAGATTCACACCTGTGACCTTAAGCTTTGGAAGTCAGTGCCATACCCTCTTAGATACCCCACTCCCACTTTAATAACTTAAGTCCTTTAAACAATTGTATGTACATCAATAAATACCTACCATCTTGACCACTTATAGATTTATTGTAATAAATATTAAATTATTTTCTATCTTTCCTGAAAAATAGAGGTTGGCACTATCAATATTTTTTTTTATTCTTCTATGAATAAATAAAATATATTATTACAATTATAAATGTCCATATACTTTATTACTTCAAAGTTATTAGTGATTGAATTTTACTAATAACAGCATCATCTCTAGGCCTCCTATATCTTGTGCCAGTACCAGTATTTCGTTTGCCCGATCGAATACACAGAAGACGCAGGAAGAATGACCATGGAGTGTGATCCTTCTCCATTATTTAGGCCACAACAATATACGTTACCTCAGAGTTTTGCGAGCATCGCAACTGCAGTGAGTTTTTGCAGTTTATATATATATATTTTTTTTTTTTCCTTAGTTCTTTAGGTATTTCCTTAAGTAAGATAACTAATTTTAACCGAAGAAAATTTGATTAGATAGATAACATTTGTTTAAATTGATTTCAAATTTTGAGATTTATCTCTATTTATAAAACTGAAAAGTCTGGTTATTTAAATGTACTGACTTATTAAAATATAATAGTATAGAAAAATAACTTTTGTAACAAATTCTCTTAAAAATAACAAATTTTACAAAAAAATAAGGATTACTTCTGGCCTAAAGATCTATAAAACAAAAACTAAGTAAACTAACTGTATACAAAACAAATAAAGAATTGTGAAACTCAAATTCTTCCTTTAAATTTCTAATTTATCAAGTATCAATTCACTTGTGTTTTTATCTGAAGGTAGTCAGTGCTGTGGCACTAATAAAAAAAAACCTTTTTCTATAAGCAGAGCCTACACGGTCATTCGGAATTGCATTCTGAGGCACTAATGACGTTCCGAATTATCGTTTAAGGTAGTGAATGAAGTACTGATGGTGGTGTGTTGCGGATTTCCGAACATCCGGAAATCAGAGGTTCATTCACGAGAAATGGGGGGAGGGGACTGAGGTAAAAATAGTGGGGAGACTAACCATACTACTGGATAGGTTAGGTTACCTAGGCCTCACAACTATTATAAATTTCTGATTTTCATTATAAGTAAATAGTTAAATAATTTTTCATATTCCTTGTTTATATTTTTAAACCATCTTCAACTATTTCTTTTAAATAGTCAAGTGGGCAACAAATTAAAAAAAAAATGTGGAAACTTCACAATTTACTTTAAGAAAAAAAAACTTTAATGTTTTGTATATTTGTCAGTTCTTTTCCCATTTTCCTCAACAAATTTATTATTTTCGCAATACCTTTCCTTAATTTTTGTAAGTAGTAGACTTATATTTTACTAACTTTTGTCATAACGATTTTCTATGAGACTAACCTTACTAGTAGATAGGTTAGTTTACCTAGGTCTCGTTATTAAGTAAATAATTTCATAAAAGTAAATAGTTGTTTATATCTCTAGTCTATATTATTATTAACCATTTTCGACTATTTTTTCTTTAAATAGTCAAGTAGGCAATAAATTGAAGAGAAAAAAAAAGTAAAAAGTTCACAATTTACTTATAGAAAAAAAATCTTTAACTGTTGTGTTTATTTGACATTAATTTTTCCATTTTTCTTAACAAATTGATTATTTTCGCAATACTTTTTCTAGACTTTTGTATGTAGTTGACTTATATTTTTCTAACTTTGGTCTAAACGATTTTCAGGCACTAGGGAGTAATTATTATATCTCCATTTTTCTCTTGATGCCCAATATTATAAATGATAATGTCCAAATAATCATATCTATGCTGTTTCATTGTTTACAACTGAACTAAATTGGTGTCAACAACGATAAGTAATGATCAGTAATGATTGAACATGTAGGGGTCTTCATGATCAAAGCGATCCCGAACAATCTTTGCCATTCTTGTGACGTTCATTCATGAATTACCGTGTAGGGTCCGCTATACAATTCATGGTATGTCTTAGGTTCAGTAGTTTATGATGAAGTACTGTTTCTAGACCAACAGTTGTACAAAAAGGTGATTCAGGTGAGGTAGGATGATCATACTCAGCTACCATTTTTACCTTATTTAATTGATTAATTAAGAATATCCACTTAATAAAACCTGAGGGTACCCTAGAAGGATCACCCGATCCCTATATCTATCTACAGCTACTGTAACAAAATAAATAAATAACTGCCGTGGCTGGACTCAAAGCTGGAGCATGGAGAATAGTCACAGTTTTGAAAGGATGATCCTACTAGTAATATTGAAACCTAAGTGTGAAGAGGGAGTATGGAAGACCTAAGAGCCAGTGGATGGACAACGGCAATCTAAGGAGTGCCATAAAAAAAACTCCCTGAAGCTGCAGATTTCCCACCTATTTAAAACACCATATTGTATTTTTAATGCAGGTTAACTTTCAAATATGTTTATCTGAATTTCCACTTTATTAATCTATACCAAAAAAATTAAAAGTTATGAAATGTCATTTGATGACTTTCTGCTATAAATTATTTGTATTTAGTTTTGATCTAGATAATTGTACAGGTTATAAAATTATATTTTTATGTATTTGTTTTGTTTTTAAGATTGGTTTCAGCGGTACAATTACCCTTTACCCGTTCTTACTCCACTCTCTATCAATGTCTCTCTTCAGCTCTGTGATTGGACCGTTTGGAGGCTTCTTTGCTAGCGGTTTCAAAAGAGCGTTTAAAATTAAGGTGATCATTTTTCAATAGTTAGATTTAAGAAACTGTCTTTTTCTTCTAACTTAAATAATAATGTGCATTATTGTAGAGGTATTACTCTTGTATTTTGATTGTTCTATGACAGTATAAATTTTTTTTTTGTAGAACTCAAATTATATTTGTTTATTTAGAAATATTACATTCTGTCACATCAAGGACATTTATACTAGTGTTCAGAGAAAGCACACTCACACTCTATTTACAATAAAAAAAAAATAATACAGAAACTTAATTACATTATAAATTAAAATTAAAGAAGTCATTTTCCTTCTAAGAGCCACATATTTAGTAAATCCTATATTAAACTGTAGTATTTTATTCTTACGAGATGATTAGGAAATTTTCACAAGATTAATTAACATTTGATATTTTTTAAGGATTTTGGTGACGTAATACCAGGACATGGAGGAATAATGGATCGATTCGATTGTCAGTATTTGATGGCTACATTCGTGAATGTCTATATATCAAGTTTTATCCAGATGTCTTCGCCCCAGAAAATTTTACAACAGGTATGGCTTCTATTTTTTACTTTCCTACCTATACCAGGTAAGGAAAGTATTGCAACCAGGTAAAATTTCCAATAAGCAGTTTTCGACGGATCTATACGTTTCAGAGCCCCCTGAGTCCGAAAAACACATTTTTAGCCGTTGGTCTGTCTCTCTGTGCCAAGATTTCCTCGTGAACTACTGAACCGATTTTGTTGCTTCTTTTTTTATTTTGTAAGGTTTTAACTACTGATGCTTGTGACAGAAATTCGGTGCTCCAATAGCTTGCACGCAACAAATGAAAAACACGTTTTTCTATAGGCTGTAGAACAAAAACGGCTCTTAACGATTTTGAAGAACTTTCTTTAATGTTCTAATAATTTTCCTTTCAATTTTTGTATATAGACTAAATTCCCAAGAAAATATAGGAAAAAAAGTTATAAAGAAGAGAAAAATGTTATGGGGCCTAACTTCCTAAGTATACATTATACGGTAAAATTCATAATAAAACTTTTGAAAGGTAATTAAATTACTAACAAAACAAAAAAATTCATGGGAATCGAACCAGTATTACCATATAAGGTAATAAAATTCCCTACAAAACTATATAAAAACCGTTCATTTTGGACAACTAATAAGGAAGTTACAGCTATTCAATTTCTAATGCAAGATTACGGGCTCATATCCTGGTGTCAAAAAGGGATGAATGAGAGAAAAAAGATGACTAAGTGAAAGTAAGACAATCTGTTGCCCGCATCACACAATCTTCACTATTTCCTCTACTTTTAACAGAAATTATTGTTTGACAATACTAAGCTATGGCAAAAAGCTTTTGATCAGCAATATTAGGAAGTATTGAAATTTTTATACTGATCTACCTTAAGCCGGTTTACATTGCTTTAGTTTATCAAATAAATCGTACTCAAATCTTTTCTTTGATCAATTTTCAGGAAAATAAATCTAGTTCAATTTTTTTTTGTTTCTTCATGAACTTATATAAAGATATAAAAACTTTTCTGAAATAGATAGGAAAGTCGTGTGAGTGGACACACCAGATTTTTTTTTATATGGTTATAATCAGAGTTTGGATTTCTGGAATATGTAAATATTTGGTTTGTGTTAAGTAATATTGGTTTTTCAGAAATTATTATTCATAAATGTTTTTTTCAATCATCCTCTATGACTTTATATTTCTCTCTATTATATCAAAAAGTATTTTATTTTACATATACAAAGCGGGATGGACCTTAACGAAGACACAATGATGAAAATCTCTATTAATATTAGGAAAGTAGGAGTTAACAGGAATTCAAATTTTCAGGCCAGCCCTCTAGACTAGATAGTGTTACTCTCCTATGATGATTATTCGTATAATTTGTACAGCTTACTACTCGGAGTCCTGGACCCTCACAAGTTCAGAGGAAAAAGCCCTTCTTATTTTTGAAAGGAAAATCCTTCGCCGTATATTTGGAGCTGTGAAGGAGGATAACAATTGACTGAACGGGATCAGAGGAAGAGGCAGGCCTCGATTAAGATGGGAGGATGGAGTAGTAAGGGATACCCGGGAACTGTCGGGCAAACACAGCTGGCGAGAGGCTGCCCAGGATAGATTGACCTGGTGAGGACCCATTAAGGAGGCCAAGGACCACACTGGTCTGTGGTACTGCGGAGTAGTAGTAATATAATTTGTAAAATGGGGTTGGTCCGCCATTAGTTTTCCTAAGTATAAGACTCTATTATAATTTATTATATTATGCGTACTCTTTAATCACACATCACAAACCTTGAAGAATGGCGTCGAAACTGGACGATTAAAATAAATTCTAATAAATCCCATCAAATCACCTTTACCCTTCGCCTTAAACCTATTTTAATACCTCCTGTCCTACAGTATCCTTTAATAATACCACACTTATCCCTGTTGAACAAATCTGATACCTTGGACTCCACTTGGACAAACATCTAACTTAGAATCCTCATACCAGACTGAAATGAATAGAAACCGCTCGACGAAACTACTCCAACACTTACTATACAAACGCTCTAAAAGCTTCCAGTTAATTACAAAAGACTCATATACATGATTACAATAAGACCTATTTGGACTTACGGAGTTGAGCTTTAGGGCTCCACTAAGCCATCATATTCCTCTCGCATCCAAATCCTGAATGCTTCTTACTTTGTCACCAATAAAATAATCCATAACGGCCTTAGTTTTCCTTATGTTTCCGATTTGGCCCAATCCATATACCTAGCCTTTCATAATAAACTTCAGAACTATCCGAATCCTCATGTAAATAAATTTTTTTTTAGAGTGCTACCAGTGGGTAGTTTCTCAACAAGTGATTTCATGTTATTATTTTCTGTTATCAAATTTACTAAATGTATTTTATTTATTAATACAGTTTTGAATATTAAAAATAAAAAAAATATGCATGTATATTTCTACTCTTATTTCCAGAACTTTGTTTTCAACATGAGGAAAGTCTTCTCCTTTTTTTAATTATCAAATATATATATTTATAAATACAATACATATTACAATAAGGGAGAATATTACAATATTAAGTAAATATTAAGGGACAATATCATAAAAATATTTCAAATCAGAGTTTTCAATGAAAATATACTTTTTGAGGTCTATTGAGTTCAAACAACCAATTTGTTAACTGTTGAAAACAAAGTTCTGGAAATAAGAGTAGAAATATATATATATTTCTGTTTTTAATTTTATATATATATATATATATATATATATATATATATATAAAATTAAAATATATATATATAAGGGACAATATTACAATATCATCAAAATATTTATATATATAAAATAAATAAATAAATATATACATATACATATACGTAAATGAAACTAAAAAACAACTAATTCCTTTTATGTAATATCTAACGCTGATATGTTAGGTGCTTACGTTGAAGCCGGAGCAGCAGCTGTCGCTGTTCAACATGCTGAAGTTCGAGCTGGAGGAGAGGGGCATTCTGACCAGATCGCCAATGATACAGCCCTAAGCCTATGGATCGTAAATCTATTTTCTGTTAACAACAGCTGTTCAACAGAAGTATGCATTCCAATTCAACATGTAAGCTTCTCTGATCTGTAAAGAGTAGCCCAAATCTATTTCCAAGTCTCTTTCATTTACGATTAGCTAACATGGCGGTTTTGTGAAATGTCCTGTGAATGTATTACCTACCTTAGCCTATTTAGTCACGACAGGTTTAGATGTATTATTATTATAGGGAATCTCTGTGCATTAGTCGCCGGAAATCACAGTATACCTTCAAAACATTATCCTTTTCCAGTTTTTATGTTGTTTCTTTTTTAGTAATTTTTATAGCTATTAGTGTAAGAAGGTGTATATATATATTTTTTATCTGTGCAGCTATGTATAATATCTTTAGAACATTTAAAGTTTTAATTTTTTTCTAAGAATCTTGTGGAAGAATCAATTTATGTCGAAAACAGTATTTTAATTTACCTAATTCATCAAGTTTAGTTGTAATTAATCTAAAGTGTTTTTTTTTGTTTTGTTTTGTTTTTTTCAATTGTGAAGAAACGTGATACGGAATAATAGAAATGATTAATTTTTAATTTGTTTTATTTTCATTTTTAATTAAGTCATATATTTCTTGCCTCTTATAATATTTTGGAGTGAATAGATCTCAGTTCTATTAATTTTGAACTTATAATCAATCATAATGTTTTGAAATAATATTATTAATATACTAAATTGGAAATACAGGAGAGTGAAGATTATTCTGAAAACTATTTATAGAAAAAATGGTATCTTTGCAAGTACAAATATATATATATATATATATATATATATATATATATATATATATAATTGCATATGTTATTCACAATAGCGGAACCAGGATTTAAATTTGAGCTGTTTGAAAAAAAAAACCTTTTTTTTTCCATACATATAATGATAATTACTTTGAAAAAAAAAGAAAGATACTAACTACCTGTATAAAATTGATTCTTGAAGTCCTATTAAAGGTAATTACTTGAACAATAATACTTTAAGATATTATTTTTTATCATAAAACACAGTTACATTTTACTATTTGGGGGGAAAGAGGTCAGCTCGAAAGCCCTCCCCCCCCACCCTCCGTAGATCCGCCTGTGGTTATTTGTATGTATATATACTGTTGATGGATTTTCCGGATTGCTTTACTCATTCGACACTCCATCATATTGTGGAGATTTGTGGTTTATGTAGAGCACAAAAATGAAAAAATTATCATTTTCATTATATGCAGTCTTCAAAAAGTAGCATTGGCCATTTGGAGCATTCTAGGAATATAATTATTTTACAATAACAACAGTATTTAATATATATATATATTTTATTTTATTTTTTTAATTTGTATCGAAGTTTTTCTTTTATTATGTTGTGGATTATATTCAGTATGGAATTGATCTTATAAGGTTGTGCATTAATTACTGGAAAATATCTCTTTAATTTTTTTTTTCTCAATAAAAATGACTTTTTGTATTCAATGCGATTTCGGTAAAATTGTGTGTCTTACTTGTTTTGAAAACTTGTCGACTTCTTAGGTTTGGATTATGTAATATTTTTTTATCTGGCTAGCGGTAATAGTAGCCAATCTTTTGGATAATTGTTTAAATTAATATTTCAATAGGAATATAAACTTTTATTAAATATGTGGTGTGTTAAAAAAACAAAGAGAATTTTAATTTTCTTGGTAAGAATTTTTTTTTATCTTTTCTTTATCTCCTTTAAAATAATACCTTCTTCTTCGAAACATTTATGGGTCTTTGGAATTTCCTTTAGTTCTCTCAGTGATTTGTTTTTACTCTCACATGTACTTATGATATGAGGATATTATGTTACTAAAGTCAATTTTTTTCCCAACAATAAAGATTGCATTGCATTAAATTTGCTGGTGCTTCTAGTTTATTGATCGTTCACAATCATTTCAGTTATTTCATTTGTTTTTTTCAACAAATTCATCAGTTGTTGATGTGTTGGGATCGTTCATGGTACTTATCATGTTCAAGGCCATCTTATCAGACTTAGGAAAAGCAATATTGAACATTCCCAAAACATTGCTGCATCATTCTTATTGCAAAATTTAATGCGAAATCCCTGAAATTGTTGGCCTTAGAAAAACAACACTTTTGACAGCTAAGAAAAGACTAAACACATGCTGATACTTTTAAAATAATTAATTTATGAACATACAGAATAAATTGTGTGAGTGTTTCAGATTTTTATAACCCACAAAATTCCTGTTACTTTTTTAACACACTTCATATTCAAAATGAAATATTGAAAGCAATAATATTGATGGCTCATATATGAATATATTAAAATAAAATAATAAAAAAAAGTTAATTCAATATACTTCTAGAAGTTAGTCTGTTATTGGTGATTAAATATATAAATATTGAAAAACAAAAGTCAAACTTATATTATCTTATTAATATATGAAACTCCATAAGAGATGGAGAAGGCTGATTAAGGCAGCAAGAGGTCTGTAAAATCAAGAGAAAAAATATATATATGTGAAATATTTTTTAGTTACTTTTTGGCATTGTTGAAATTTTATTGTAATTTTAAGGGTATAATAATTTTATTTTTTTCAGCTATATATATATATATTATTTATATAGATATACATTCCATTCCATATAAGTCTGTTTAAGTGAGATGATCGAATGAACTTAATTTTTTATTTAAATGATTACTGTACATCATTATTAGAATCTAGCAGCCTGTAGCTCATTGAACCTCATCGAGTGGGAGAGAAAAGAAATGAGGTGTTTTTTTATAGACCTCGCTTCTGTGAGAACAGTTAAGAGGTTCATCTAGCCTCGCGTTGCTCAGTTTCCATGGCAGCATGGTGGGGAATAAACTTCAAAAAATGGTATTTTTATCCAATCGATTGGAACCCTTTTTATCAAGATCTATGCATTATGGCTATTTATAGAATAATATGCTCTGTGGAACCTAAATGTCTGCGCAAGAAAGATCATAGATATATCTAACCTATAAAATTTTATCTTAGTGTCCTATGACATCGCATCGTAATTCAAATACCAAGATTGATAAATAGGCAATTCAAGAAAAATAAGCGATTGCTTAATGAAGTGAATTTCTTCATCACTAGTGTCTATTCATCTCTACATATTTAGCACCCAAATGTTTAATAAATTTTTCGGCTTTTACACACGTGAGAGGTTTAACATAATTTATCCCTGATTACTTGAGTACCCCCTACTGTCATTATCCAAGCATTATTATTACAATTTTTTTAAGGGTTTCAAAACTGAATTTATCTCAGTTATTTTGGCTTACAAATAAAAAGAAGTATTAAAAACTTTTTAACAATACAGTATACATTTATATATATATGGCATTGACATTAAATATATAGTTTTGGTGGTCTTGAACTTCACCCTCATCTTATTCTTTTTAATTTATATACATGGCCTTTTATGAAATGGTTGATGTGGGGAAATTATTTATTAATGAAATCAGTCTCCTGTTATGATTTTTATCTTGTGACTAAATGAAATTTATAACAATAATAATATTGAAAATATGATATAAAAAAATATATATTTGAAATTCTAATAAGAAAATTTGTTACACCGAGGTTTACTGTTAAAATGAATAAATAAAATAGGACAGTGCTTGATAGGAGTTTGAGAGTACAAGTTATTGAAAGAGAGAGGCGATTGTAAGCTGTTAATTTTAACTACTATATACTCAAGTTTACAATGGTAATTTGTCGCTTAAATATTCATCAAGAAAAATATAAGATTTTATACAAGTTGTCTAAAAAATAATACTTTTTTTTACTTTACTTTCGAGACAAAACCAACACTTGAGACTGATTATATGACTTTAGTTGCTTATTTATTTTGTTTTTCCAAAATCTTCATACCAGTTTTAATATGGCAACTTTTAATTTTATTCTATGTAATAAATTTTCTTAAGGAAAATTTATCAATATGTAATAAAAAAGAAGAAAGTACTTCATAATTGTTGCCAAATTGTGTGTAATTTAATATAATGTTGATATAGGCTTGTTAGTTGTATTATTTTTTTTTTTTTAAACCAAGTCTATTCTTCATTATATTTAAAAATCAAAACATGACACAATTTTTCCTATTTACTAATTTATAGTCAGATGTGTGTTTTTATTATTACTTGAATCTAGTCATTAAATAAATAACGATGTTATTGTTAATAGTTACTGTTGTCATTGGTGTTTTGTCATGTGAGTTATCTATAATTGAAGTATATATTCTGTTAGCGGTAAAAGTGTATTATCTGTTAAACCTGATTGGAAGTCACATATGGTTATGTGTTTTATAATCCCTGAGTAATGTGTCTTGCACTGATCCAATTAATGATATAGCACATATAAAAGTGTGACAAATTTCAAATTCTCTTAAATGTTATGTAAGAAGTTGTTAGTAGTCAATATTTTATTTAAAACATCATCTGTTAGAAATAATTTAGGAAAGTTTAAAAAAAAAATAAAAGTAATGGATGAATTCTTAAGAATTTATTTTTTAAATATTATATAAGTAAAAATATTCTATTATTGATGTATATTATATATGTATATGTGTGCATGTGTGATAAATTAAAATATGAAAGAAATCTCTTTCTGTTTCCTTTAACACATACCTTGTTCCAAACTCCGAACTCCTTACAGGTGTGGTGTGGTTGCCACTCCTAACAATGTTACTTGTGTTTCGATAGTTACTTTAACAGCCAGGGTTGTTCGATAGTGACTCATAACAGAGAGGATTGCTCGATAGTTACTTGTAACAGCCAGGGTTGTTTTATAGTGACTCATAACAGAGAAGATTGCTCGATAGTTACTTAAACAGCCAGGGTTGTTTAATAGTGACACTCATAACAGAGAGGATTGCTCGATAGTTACTTGTAACAGCCAGGGTTGTTTTATAGTGACTCATAACAGAGAGGATTGCTCGATAGTTACTTGTAACAGCCAGGGTTGTTTTATAGTGACTCATAACAGAGAAGATTGCTCGATAGTTACTTGTAACAGCCAGGGTTGTTTAATAGTGACACTCATAACAGAGAGGATTGCTCGATAGTTACTTTAACAGCCAGGGTTGTTCGATAGTGACTCATAACAGAGAGGATTGCTCGATAGTTACTTGTAACAGCCAGGGTTGTTTTATAGTGACTCATAACAGAGAAGATTGCTCGATAGTTACTTAAACAGCCAGGGTTGTTTAATAGTGACACTCATAACAGAGAGGATTGCTCGATAGTTACTTGTAACAGCCAGGGTTGTTTTATAGTGACTCATAACAGAGAAGATTGCTCGATAGTTACTTAAACAGCCAGGGTTGTTTAATAGTGACACTCATAACAGAGAGGATTGCTCGATAGTTACTTGAACAGCCAGGGTTGTTTTATAGTGACTCATAACAGAGAGATTGCTCGATAGTTACTTGTAACAGCCAGGGTTGTTTTATAGTGACTCATAACAGAGAAGATTGCTCGATAGTTACTTTAACAGCCAGGGTTGTTATATAGTGACTCATAACAGAGAGGATTGCTCGATAGTTACTTGTAACAGCCAGGGTTGTTTTATAGTGACTCATAACAGAGAAGATTGCTCGATAGTTACTTAACAGCCAGGTTGTTCATAGTGACTCATAACAGAGAGGATTGCTCGATAGTTACTTGTAACAGCCAGGGTTGTTTTATAGTGACTCATAACAGAGAAGATTGCTCGATAGTTACTTAAACAGCCAGGGTTGTTTAATAGTGACACTCATAACAGAGAGGATTGCTCGATAGTTACTTGTAACAGCCAGGGTTGTTTTATAGTGACTCATAACAGAGAGGATTGCTCGATAGTTACTTGTAACAGCCAGGGTTGTTTTATAGTGACTCATAACAGAGAGGATTGCTCGATAGTTACTTGTAACAGCCAGGGTTGTTTTATAGTGACTCATAACAGAGAAGATTGCTCGATAGTTACTTAAACAGCCAGGGTTGTTTAATAGTGACACTCATAACAGAGAGGATTGCTCGATAGTTACTTGTAACAGCCAGGGTTGTTTTATAGTGACTCATAACAGAGAAGATTGCTCGATAGTTACTTTAACAGCCAGGGTTGTTCGATAGTGACTCATAACAGAGAGGATTGCTCGATAGTTACTTGTAACAGCCAGGGTTGTTTTATAGTGACTCATAACAGAGAAGATTGCTCGATAGTTACTTAAACAGCCAGGGTTGTTTAATAGTGACACTCATAACAGAGAGGATTGCTCGATAGTTACTTGTAACAGCCAGGGTTGTTTTATAGTGACTCATAACAGAGAAGATTGCTCGATAGTTACTTAAACAGCCAGGGTTGTTTAATAGTGACACTCATAACAGAGAGGATTGCTCGATAGTTACTTTAACAGCCAGCGTTGTTTGATAGTGACTCGTAAGAGCCAGGATTGTTCGATAGTGACGCAACAGCTATGACTGTGCCAATATTGACTTGGCTTAAAGACATAGTTTGCTCTATATCTTTCTTCACTCTATCTTCTTGTACTTCTCATAGGCTGCAGATGTTCTCTGGATAAGGAAGTCCTTCTATGCTTTCTTCTTTTCTCAAATCATCTTCTCACCATCAGTTCACACCACTTCTTTTTTAAAAAAAATTATATTAATTTATATATAAAATAAAATTTCAGAAATAACCACTATTTTTTAAGTATTTATTTATTTAGTATTTAATTCATTCAGTAAATAAATTATAACAATGCCCAGATTGTTGGGGTAATGGGAGTCCTGGGAGTTGGATGTGCTATTCTCGAAGCAGTGATTTCGGTGCGTCTGTCACTGCTATCACTAAGACCTATGACTTAGCATGAAACATTGACACAAAGAAAAAAACTGTTTGGGCTATCACCTTACGTTAATATCACTATAAGTTCCTAACCACGGTCTGGGTTTCTTTCTTATAAAATTTTGGGTTTCTTTCTTATAAAATTTCAACTCTGTTCCTCCTTAAACAAATATTTCAACACACTTTACTTCTTTGATTGGTACAAATTGTTAAAATTTTACTAATTTCTAATCGATTTTTTTTTTTTGTAAGTAACTTAGTAATCTTTCTGATTATCATGGGTACAATCAAGAAAAAAATGCATACTTTTTGAGTTATTTGCAAATAAAGTTTCTTTTCCTTCATAACTTTTAAGAATATCTTCAAAATGAGTGGTCAATCATTGGATTTGATGAAGAATTGACGAAGTTATGGCGTACCGACAAAAAAACACCTTTTAGAAATAATATATAGGATTTAATAAATTGTTACTTGAATTTAGTTAAAATAGTAATATTGTTTAAATGAATGAACAGTATTATATTGTTTCCATAATCTTTGCATGTATCAGGAAGAAGTATAGATATTTAATGTGATAGTTTTCACATGGGTTATGCTAGTTCTATTTATAATTTTTAGATGATTATAGATTTGTTATATTCTGTTCATGGAACAAGATATTCTCGTAACCTTAACTACTACAATAATTTCGAAAGGCATTAACTACTACCATGTGTTTTTTCTGACCCAACGTAATAAAAAAGTGTTAATAGACTCATTAGTTACTGGCAATGGTGTTGTTTTTATATCATCTGTTACGAGAGCTGGGATTTCACTGTTCGAAAGTTATGATTTTACAGCTCCGCCAATATCCCCAACGTCAGTTAATATGAGTTTGTAAATATTGATGCATTGCAATTCATTTATGGGATCATCATATTCTTTCACACTTTTTATTACAGATCAAGATCTGCTTCTTTTTAAAAATCTTTTTCATTATATCTGATTTATCCTTTTTATCCATTTTTAAACTTATAAGCTTCTTTATAATCCTAATTTTTGTCAACAATAAATACTTTTAATTAATTTATGTATTTGATCTGCTATTCAACAATGATTTTGCTATATATTGTGCTTTCATGGACAATTTATCATAGAATGAAAATTAAATTTAAAAAGAAAAGAAAACTGTAAGCAGGTATTTAAAAAATACTGATGCCTTTATCATTAGTAAGCCACAGGACAAGGTGGTCCAAGTGAATAATTCGAATCATTTATTGGTCAGCCGATCACATTCCAATTCAATATAAGGGATTGGATAACTTAAAAAGTCCCAACATAATTTGACTGTATCTTTTATGTTTTGTTTTTTTCTTACTTCCCAGGACTTAAAAAAAGTAAAATTGTCAGGTATTTTAATTTTCTAGTTAATTACTGATAACAAATGATATTAAAAAAACATTATATATGTGTATATATATATATTAAGCAGTTATTGGTGGTAGAACAAAGCAAGATTAGGGAAATAGGAATGGAATAAAGAAGAGGAAAGACTTTGGCTCACGGTTAAAACAACTGCCCTTTCACAGTTTTGTAAAAAGTTACTAAGTAATAGCATAGCTAAACCTAAACTCTTATGTATATTTTTGTGAATTTCGAACCTTATTATAAATGCATCAAAATGATGCTAACCTTTTATATTTCAAAAATAGTTACACTAAGTGCCCAATGTTCTAATTTCACGGAGAAAAATTCATCAAGGAACTTAGTTATTAAATTTAAAGAAATGTTATTTAAAATTTTGTGCGATAAAGCAATGATTTTTTTTTAACAATCCAAAATTAAACAAAGTGATATAAACATTTAAAATATACATACTTACACAAGTAGATTTAAATGGGTACTTAAAATAAGAACCTTGTTGCCTAGATCAATTCAAATATAAAATTTTGTACTGATTAATATCAAGACAAAAGAGAGCACCATTTTAGTTGATTAACTTTAGCTCCAGAAATAAATAAGATATAACTTCATAAAGGATAATATATTTTTCACATAAAACTTTTTAATTCAGGAAAAAACTTGAATGTGATACTTAGATTGTATTTAGGTTTAAAAAATACATATGAGGATATTCTTTTAATAAAATAAACAATTATCAATTAGAATTAAGATTTAATAGTAACAAAAATTAAAAATAATGCAGTAAAATTTTATAAACAAAATAATATTCATGGAAATCAAAATTACTGTCCTGGAGCAGATAAAGATTTATCCATGAATTTCTTTTTAGCAAAACATAACCACCATTTGGAAGGCTTGCCGTCTTCGCCATAAACCTTATCACAAATCCTAAGACCTGTCTCTTGCCTCATTTGCAATAGATATTGACGCATTAAATCAGCTTCACCTTGAGACGCAGGTTTTGCATATACCGAATTCAAAGGAAACCCGTTATCACCAGGAATATCAAACTTTGAAATGGCTAATGAATACATTTCTTTCAAACCATCATTTTTTGACATACATTTTTGAAGTTTCTTCAAACACTCAGTAATATAAAGGATAATATAAATCAATACCCTATCAGCTTCACTTTTGATTTCATATGTTCTAAAAAACACATTTGCTTTGAAATAGTAGATTGCTTCATCTATAATGTCTTGTTCCAAGTCAGAAGATGGTGCAGGCCCTCGAAACTGAGTTCTTAATGGTAAAACAGCCATATTTCCAACAAGCTGTCCATACTCAAGGAACGAAGAGTGGTAAGCAGGCATTTTTAATCAGTCTAGATGCAAAAAAAAAAAAAATCCATTAAAGCGGCACATTTTGAAGTCTCATAATTCTTACTCAAACATCAATTATATAAATTTTTAAAAATAAATAAATGGTTTTCTTGATGATGCAATGATGGTGATAATTATTACCTTTTAATGCCAATTAATAACAAAGTAATATATTATCACCAGCCCATAACAGTCTCCTTAGTCAACGCCTTTAGGTATGACACATCGCCATTCCGTATTGATTAAGTCGTTCAACTAGGGCAAGGCAAGGAGGTGCAAATTGTAGGCAAGAGCTTATCGTCCTATTTCCTTTCTCTTGGGTAAAGCGGACCCTACACGGTCATTCGGAATTGCCCTAATGACGTTCCGAACAGAGATGGGCATATTTATATTCAAAAATATGAATACGAATACTATTTATATGTATGGCATTTTTTAATATAAATATGAATATATTTATATTCATAAAAAGAAACATGAATACAGATGATGCATAATCACATGTGTAAATATAAATACGGCCGTATTCACTACTTTAAAAGTGAAAAGTGAATACGGCTTTATTTACAGTTGCAGTAGTGAATATGGCCGTATTCACGTTTATTAAAATGAATACGCTTAAATTTACAGGAGTGAATGGAAATATTTTCACACAACCTTATGAATGAATACTCTTATTTATTAAATATATATTAATTTTACTTTAGGTATTTTCCAAAATTAAACAAAAAGTATGCAAATTATTAAAATAAAATTCTGGACAGTAAGGAGTTAATTAAATCTGACTAACACAAAATGATGTATAAATAAACTTTTAATTTTATTAAACATAAAGTTATAATTATGTATGTGTTAACATCTTAGGAGGGTCCTAATTATGTAAACTGAAGTCAATTAAGGGAATTGGAAAAGTCGACTAGATGACTGAGCTAATGCCTATATATACATATGTATTTTACCACGCTATATGTTGCTATTATAGAAATTTTAGTTAATATCCAATGATAATTATATATAGCAACATGTCCAAAGATTTTATGATTAATTCATGAACATTCTTTAATTTTTACCTGAAAATTTTATTATAGTTTCGGTAGTAAATGTGGAGTGATGAGATCATTTCACTGACTCAAACCTTTAAATACAAATAAAACTAAGAATTCAGTCATTTGACCGGGTATGGCACACCGGATTGCTCTTCAAGCTTAAAACCTATCTACCTCAGTCCTTATATCTGGTACTTCGATCCTATCTCTCTAACCGCTCCTTTCAAATCCGCTGTGAAACTGAATTTTCCAAGTGTTATTCAATTCAGGCAGGAGTTCCTCAAGGGAGCGTCTTGGGTCCTATCTTGTATATTCTATTTACCGCTGATATTCCTACTCATCCTGAAACTCTCCTGGCAACATTAGCTGATGACACGGCTATCCTATCTTCTAATTCAGATCCCGAAACAGCATCCTTTAACCTACAAAGTCACCTCTCTCTTATTGAACACTGGTATAATAAGTGGCGCATCCAAGTAAATGAATCTAAATCCAAACAAACCACTTCCACCCTTCGGCGCAAGTCGTGTCCACCAGTTTATTTCAACTCCATACCACTTCCCCTCTCTGACACAGTTCGGCACCTTGGCTTCCTTTTAGACAAAAGATTAACATGGAACCCACATACCAGACTTAAAAGACAACAGCTTAACTGACGATATGGCCAACTATATAGATTACTCAATAAAAAAACTCAACATTCAGTCGAGAACAAACTATTAATCTACAAGACAACTGGCTTACTATACCAGTGACGCGGCTGGGAGAGAAGCACTGGGATCTCCTGGAGTCCTGCTTTGGCTTCCACAGTTGGGGGACAAAGCTTGATTCGGAGTCCCCTGGGCCAATGTAAATATTGTACATAGGTGTGAATGTGTTTTATTTGTTTTGTTATTATTCGGCTGATCTGTTGTTTTAATTATTTTGTATATTACTTTACCTTTTTATTTATATATATATATATATATTTTTTTTTTTTCCTTTCTTATGTACATATTGTGTGAATGAATACTATAGCCCTAGTACCAATGCCTTTCAGTGTGGCGGACTGTATTAATACTCAATAAAAAGTTAAAAAAAAAAAAAGAATTCAGTTGGTTTGTTAACAATTTTCAAATACATCATCCACACACAAAAAAAATATATTTACCATATATATCATTTTATTTTTATATATAGTATTATATTCTTCATTTTACTATATGTTACAATGTATTTTGGTATGTTAATTGTTGTACGTAATATAAATTCCCGAAACCTTTTTTGGGGGTATCCATCGCCCCTCCCTTCCCCCTAACAGAATGGAAAATCCGCGTCTTTGGTCCTTTCGGTGCACTGTTTACTTATGGGTTGCTGATGTCATAAAATATAACTTTAATGGAATGTCAGCGTAGGCACAACTGTCAGAACTATACCCTGGAAATTTCCGGGGGTGGGGGGATACGGGTACTCGGCATCCTTTGCAAGAAGCTAGGGAAGGTACAAGGACAGTCAAATTTGGATAGTGACCTTTCCGGACCTGTAGTTCCGTAAAGTAATAAAGTAAAAGTGAGGGTGTTACTGTATGTGTTAATGTGCTAAGTTTTGCATTCAGAACAATGTATGGAATTGATCGTGAAACTGAGTCTGTTTCTTTAGCAGACTCTTGTATTCTGGATCAGGATTTCGATTTAAGTGAGTGTTTTCAAGACAGTACCGGTCTTTAAGAAAATTAAGGTTCTCTATTCGAGTCGCGTTGAATGGGACTTTCTTTAAAGCATTAAGTAATGATATAAAAGTGATTTCACAAGAAATACATAAATTTAATTCGGTTTGCGTTTTATGTTTAAAATGTCCTCCCAAAGTTTCAAGCAAACAAAAAATAATAAAATCTAATATTTTAAAAAATAACATTACAACACTTTTAAACAACACATTTAAAGCGGCATCATATTAAAAAAAATGTAACGAATGATTAAAAAACAATAAAATACCATTTATGATACTTTTATTTTGTTTTAAAAATACCAAATATTTTATTAGCATATTATTTTATTTATTATTATTATTTTTTTAAACATTTGCGAATCATATATATATATATATATATATATATATATATATATATATATATATATATATATATATATATATATATAACATTTAATTTTATTAAACATAAAATTATAATTATGAATATGTTAACATTATTTGGATTGATCTAATCAGAACAGATTTGAATATATATATATATATATATATATATATATATATATATGTGTGTATGTACGTCTATGTATATATATTCAAATCTGTTCTGATTAGATCAATCTAAATAATGTTAACATATTCATAATTATAATTTTATGTTTAATAAAATTAAATGTTTAAGCTATACATCATTTGGATTTAGTAAATGCCAATTTTTTAACATTATTCTAACATTTTTTTAAGAGATTATTTACTAAACCCCTTACTGTCCAGAACTTTATTTTAACTTTTTTTGTTTTATTTTGGAAAATACCTAAAGTAACAAATAAATTAATATTTATTTAATAGATAAGAATATTCATTCATAAGGTTGTGTGAAAATATTTCCATTCACTCCTGTGAATTTAAGCGTATTCATTTTAATAAATGTGAACATGGCCGTATTCACTACTGCAACTGTAAATACTGCCGTATTTACTTTTAAAGTAGTGAATACGGCCGTATTTATATTATACATACAGCGTGATAAAATACATATGTATATATAGGCACAGGCGGATTTACGGGGAGGGGGGCTTTTGGGCTGAAGCCCCCTCCAAAATGGTAAAATGTAACCATGTTTTATGTAAAAAATATTAAAAACTTAAGTCTTAAGATTAGTCGTTTAATTACATTGTAATAGGCTTCAAGAATCACTTAAACAGCATTCATATAGGTAGTTATTATCATTCTGTTTTTATTTCAATGAGATTATCGTTATATATATATGAAAAAAAAAGCTTCCGGGCTGAAGCCTCCCCCTCAAAAAACTAAATCCTGAGTCCGCTAGTGTATATAGCCTACGCTGACATTCCATTAAAGTTATATTTTATGACATCAGCAACCCATAAGTAAACAGTGCACCGAATGACCAAAGACGCGGATTTCCATTCTGTTAGGGGAAGGGAGGGGCGATGGATAACCCCTCAAAGAAAGGTTTCGGGAATTTTATATTACGTACAACAATTAACATACCAAAATAAATTGTAACATATAGTAAAATTAAGAATATAATTACTATATATAAAAAAAAAAATGATATATTGTAAATATATTTTTTTGTGTGTGGATGATGTATTTGAAAAAGTGTACAAGGATACCAACTGAATCTTTTTTTTTTAACTTTTTATTGAGTATTAATACAGTCCGCCACACTGAAAGGCATTGGTACAGGGCTATAGTAATTCATTCACACAATATGTACATAAGAAAGAAAAAAAAAAAATATATATATATATTATAAAAATAAAAAGGTAAATTATATATACAAAATAATTAAAAACAACAGATCACCGAATTATAACAAACCAAATAAAACACATTCACACCTATGTACAATATTACATTGGGCCCAGGGACCTTCCGAATCAAGCTTTGTCCCCCAACTGTGGAGCCAAAGCAAGGACTTCAGGAGATCCCAGTGCTGCTCTCCCAGCCGCGTCACTGGTATAGTATGCCAGTTGTCTTGTAGATTAATAGTTTTGTTCTCGAATGAATTGTTTTTGAGTATTATTATGTGAGTAATCTATATATTGGCCATATTAGACGTCATCTTAAGCGTTGTCTATTAAGTCTGGTATGTGGGTTTCCATGTTAAACTTTGTCTAAAAGGAAGCCAAGGTGCCCGAACTGTGTCAGAGAGGGGAAGGTGGTATGGGAGTTGAAATAAACCTGGTGGACACGGACTTGCGCCGCAGGGGTGGAAGTGGTTTTTTT